TAGCAGATTAACAATGTAAAAGATCCTGTATGTTTTGTAATTGACGTTGTATACCACTCTTGGGTGAAATTATATATGTATATAATTATGGTAATACAACAATTTTCAAACATCGAAGAACATGTAAAATATGTACTACAAATATTTGTACATATTAAAAGTAATCATTAGATTATATGCTTTCATTTCTTATTGGAAAATTTGACTTAGAATTTATAGAAAACAAATTTCTAATTACCTTCCTTTATTTACATGAAATATTAAATTCGGTAATATCTTTACAAATAATGCTTTGTGGAACGTACAATATTGATAAATCTTAATTTGAGCATCATATCTTTTATATTAAACCATAAAAAACTGTGTTACAGGATCTATAAGTGTGAGATTTTCAAAATCTCTTTTTTCATATATTTCTTTTATCACAAACATATATGTAACGATATACGTTGTGAATATATACGAATTAAGTAGTGTATGCTCCTTATGTCTGCAGTTGTTATCTAGGCTATGCTAAACTATAATCAATCGTGGATGAAGCTATTTGATTGGTCGTGATTTGTTCCACTATTATAATTACCTTCACTTGTATTAGACATTACCTTTAATCGGATTAATTCTTTAATTCTTAGACAATAGTTCAGGCGTACAGTGTGTTGTCAAGGTATTCCTAAACGCAAAGTAAAAATGAAAGCATCGCATGTTTTTAATCATTATGTTTGAATTAAAAGGACATTTAATCTTGAAGTTTTCAGAACTTCAAAACTTCGCAGAAGACTTAAAGCTATTTGATTTTGGTAACTGACCTGTTTTTCATCACTGATTGACAATAGATCTACCTTTACAATTGTTGGGCATCGATGGACCAAAAGGTGACACAAACTTGTTTTTGTCATTACTTCCCATTGGAACAGTTCAATTTTACTCTTAAATAAGTTTGCAAACAAATTTTAGTCTTAATAAATATCTAAAAATTTGCATGTAATGTTTGTTCATTCATGTTTTAAGTATATCTCAAAATAATAATTATATGAATCATATGCGTTCATATTGTTATTAATACATGTTTGGGAAATTTTATACAGACTCTCACCACGGCCCAGCTCAAATTTTATGTGCTACTTTCCTTTGTTTTACTAAATAGTTATCTCGAGCGAATGATGCACGTGTCATCTCGACTTCTCGTCAAGTGATGTTATGTTTGTTTTCTCTTCTGAATCATTAACATTAATAATCGGACAAAAATATGATTCGACGATGTGTGTACTATTTACGTAGGATACAATCCTGAGGATTTCTTACAATTGGTTTGTTCCAGGAACGAATTCAAGAGTTTGTCAATATGCTAATAGCTAACAACAAAATCAGACTAAAGTAAGTTCTGTATAAACTACCGTATGAGCATCAAATGATGATAACACAAGATTCGGCTTTAACATGACAAGTATGCTCTTAATAATAGTATTTTGATATTATGGTATGTCATGAACAAAATAACAACGATGTTGTTTTCTTTTACTGTGCAATGTTTATTGAAAGTAATACAAAAACTTTATCTTGGTGTTGATTTGTCTTGTCAGAATAGATTTACATACATTACAAACAAAACGAAATTGTACATAATTATACAATACTTTTCACAATAAAATGTGTGTCAGTAGCCATTTAATGACAATTACAAAATAAAGGAAAGAAAAGATAAAATATGGGCGTTAAAATGCGGGTTCAAGTATTTTACTGTTTCAGCAATGAACTCTTCTGTAATCATCTTCTGATGATCGTTCAGAAAAAGTCTTCCAAATTCAAACAAAGAAACAAAGTCACGTACTTAGTGTATTAGAGCTAACCAAAAGAAAATATGATGTCATGGATACATGTAAACTTTTCAAAAGGATAAACAAAACAAATTGATGATGAAACATATCAATACACATATACATTGAAAGAAATGACTTATTTTCAGAAGAATGAAAGTGATGCTTGAAAATTACAGCTTGCATATACCATTGATGCCCATTAACTGGTACAGTCGAACTGATCCTGATACAATTTCAATTTTAGACTATTTTCAGTGGAATATATCGATATTTGTAACCTTTGGATACAAGAAAAGGCTTTGACCGATGCGTTAAAGCTGGAAGATATTTTGGGTGAGAAAACCAACCTAAGAAAAGAAAAATATTTACAGTTTGCATTATGAATGAAAATTATTTTCATGGATGATATATATAATTCTAGGGACGTGCTTTTGTGATAAATTTTATAATATGATACTATAAAAATATGTTCAGAATATTGAAGTTTTTATTTGATGAGCCACAAAGATAATTAATAATTATAAAAAGATATGTGTTTACACCGATTGATAAAAATTCCATTATTTTTTATTAAGTAATTCTTGTTGGGGTTGGATATAAAAAAATCCATTAAATAATGTTATATAAAAGATCAAATATCTGAAGGGACGTTGGGGCTGATATACAATATATACATTAAAAAAGTTTCCTTAATATGTAGGTACTTATTACATAGTTCGTTATTACGTTTTTTTTAAATTACTTTGTATGTAAGACTATCTCCACATGCCTATACTAGTTACATATAGGAAACATAATAAGCGTACAAAAGAATTACATGTAAATAAAAATTGCCTCATACATGCCTTTTCATTAATTTGTCAATATACTTTGTGTTTAATTTTTATAAAAGTTTATAGGGTATTTAGCAAAAGTGAAAAATAAATCAATGTTAGAAAATCAAATAACGAAAACATATGCTTTATGTCTGAGATAAAAACTCATTGAAAATAAAATGTTTACATAAGACCCAAGAAGTTTTTACTAAAAAAATTCCTTCCTTATGTTCCTTCCTTAATTTTCTAGTGTAGCTTGGAACCTTACATCATTTAACAATTGAATATCACATGGGGTTAAGAAAGATAGCAATAAAATTATGAAACAAAGAACAAACAAAAACAAAAACAAAAAAACAACAACAGTAAAATGGTCATATCATAATCTTCTAAATAATCTCTCTCAAGCAGCTACACACAAAGCAAATGCCATATCTTAATAAACATAAAAATATTCAGTCAGTGAAATACTGCTTTCTTAGATGAATATGCATGTACGTAGCTGTGATTACAAAAGCTTATTTACTTCATTGCATTTAACAATATAGGAAAGAGAACTGCTCACACTATGATGGATATAACAGGTAAATAGTAAACTCAGGAAACCATAATATCCCAAAAAACGTTTTTTTCAAAGCAAACGATTTAGATGCATATGTGTTATAACATTTTATCAGTAGTAATTTTGTAAACATGTGTGAACAGTTTATTAATGAAGGGTGTACGTTATACAATTTCTTCTTCGTTCATTCAATGTGCACCTGTTGAACTTGTTAACTAAGAGACATTAATTTATACTGATACTGTCTAGTCAAAGTAACTCTGACACACTGATATGCATCTTGATAAAAATGAATATATTGGTTCTGAGTAGCGTAATCTGACTTTATTAAAACAATTGGTTATATAGACACAAATTTGCTAAAATGACATGTACCTTGTTATCTTCATAACATCCTTTTTGAATAAGAATATTGTATTTTTTTTATATTAAAAATACACAATAACATAAATAAACTTCAGTTTGATCATAAAAATATTTTTTCAACTGCAAAAAATCAGGACATGTCTCTATTATAACTAAACTCGAAGATCTGACACTTGGTTGATCGCTTAGGATATCAGTGAGTAACTGTCTGTAAAATGTTTGTCAGAACATGCACAAAACAATTAATTTGAATCTTTTGGTCTTTTATTACATGTATTTAGACATAAACGTTTTGGGTATATGGGCTGTTCAAAGATGAATTAATAGTCTCTTTAATGTAGGAAGACGCGGTTCTTTTTATACAGGTGCTCAGCCTTCAAACACGAATAGAAACTTTGTACAACAAAACGACAGACAAATGAATATTGTTGTGGGACATATGACATTGTATACGTCGTTTCTTCAAGTGATGTTTTTTAAATTAAATATAAAGAAAACACTCTCCAAGACAAAGAGTAGCAAAATTTAATGTTTTTGTTATTTTGGTTTCAAGAAATTTGTTTGGTTTACTTATTTCATTTTCGTGTTTGAATATGTATAAAAAGAACAACTAACAAAAGTTTTCAATGATTTTTACATGTACTCGTATTTATAATATCCACTTCTTTTTTTTTTCGTTGCCCTGATCGTTGCCTTACCGATGCCTCACCAGTGGTCTTGATTGGTATGCTATTGTTCGGGACTGCATTTGGTGAACGTCGCTCTCCCTATTTGATCTATTAATAAACTCTTGATACATCATACCGAAATTTTACCAAAACTGATTTGGCTACATTCTATATATTATTAAAAAAACAACATTCATCCATGACGTATGGGCAGTTCCACATGCGAAATATATATAAATACAACCATCTGCACTAAATTCAGGGTGTGAAACTTTCGTGCGTTATCAACACTGAAACAAAATCTATATTTGATAAGTCAAATGATTCTCAAGAATTTCGCAAGAGCACGTGTCATCAGTATGCCTCAGGCAAACAAGTCAAAGTCAATCACGTAACTTTGCGCCAAATTTTTAAATATTAGTTCTTAAGTCGTGATATTGCTTTGAAAGTATGATATTTGTTTAAAAAAACATGCAATTCATTTTATATGTAAAATATCCCTTTGAAAAACATCTGCAAATTGATTAAATTGATCCGTAAATGTGGAAAGCCAGCGGCGCAACCTCGTTACCGTTTATAAAATACGTCTTTATACAGGAAAAAATGAAAATTTCATAGGGATATGTACGTAACCAATGTTCGAGAGAATGTATCATCATAAGTTTTTTTTTTGAGGACAAATAATTGCAGTCTAAACAACGTTTGCATTTATTTTCAAGCAAAGGTATTATACATTTGTCGACAAGAAGACCGTGCTTTATGTATTCACTCTTTATAGACAGTCCATATAAGAATAAAACTCTTCATTCGTTCTGATATTAACAGCTTTAACGAGAAGTTCAGTATCACCAAATATAAACGAGACTTCTAGTCGATTATTCTTTTTCGATCTGTTATTTGCATGGACTACTCTAAGCGTACCCACGTGCTTGCAGTCAATGTCTGTTGTGTATTTAGGATCGATTTCTTCTGTACAAAAAACCCTTAATGACGTTTGGTCAGGGTCAGTAGGTGTGTATGGACCTTTAGAAATTGTTTTCCTAATATTTACTTCTTCCCCAGCTCTGATAATAATTCCAAAAATATTACCAGCATATTTTATACCATCTATGACTTTTACTTCTGCATATTTATGTTTCTTCTCGATAAAATATTCACGCACAGACATTCCATACGTGTGGGCCATTATTCTTGACCGTACAATATCCTGAAAATGTCCATACCGTACTGCACCTGAGAACAACAAGGCCTGCTTCTTCCGGGATAATTATTATCTTGTTCTTTATGTATTGCTGTATGAGGTTTTGGGATAATTTACTCTCGCCAAACCCTCCAACTAAATGAATTGTTTTGACCTTTTGCATATTTGGCTTTGCAAGAATCTGTTGCACATGCTCAATCACGCAATGAATCGGAGTCTCAAAAAACTTTTTAACGACAGAAACTTCAACTCTCATTTTGTCGCCAGTAAATGTAACCATTCCCGACAACCCCAGATTGGCAATTCTTTTCTCTAATGAAAGGCTGTTATTCTCCTGATAAAGCTCTTTTATTGATGCAGACAGTCTGAATGTAATTTTCCCCTTTGACTCGGGACTGATGCCTCTCTTCTTTATTTCGAATTCTCTTACCAGTTGAAAGTAGTCTTCCATTTTCTCGTTTTGAAATCTCTACATTTACGGATATGGGTCGTTCAAAGATGAATAATTTCACTTGTATTTGTCTATTTAATGTAGGAACAAGCCTTTAGGAGTTATTTTCATACAGCTTCTCAGAGTCTTCAAGTATGGAAAGGAACTAAGTATAACAAAAGACAGCAAATATTGTTTTGTTACTATATTACATGGTATATTGCTACCTTGTTTCCTTCCCTTAATGTATATTAAGTTCATAAGAAGACAACACTCACCAAGAAATGTTAATCTCTTTTTATGAAGTTTGCTTGTTTTACTTGTCTCATTTCCGTGATTGGAGACCCTGAGAAAAGAAACCTCTGTATAAAATGAACTACTAATAAAAAATTTCAATGATTCATACGACACGTATTTAAAACAGCCACTCAGTTTTTCTATCTAATTGTATACATGCATAATAAATTATACGCTGAAAAACGCTTTATAAGCAACTCTTCAAAATATTTCAAATTGGTGTTATTAAAAGTGATAGGTATGCCCTAATTCATAAAATGTACAGCTATTATAGCTTTTTGAAAAAGTGTTTTTTATACCATCATATATTAAGAAAATAATTTGACATGAACCAAAGTATCAAAATCATAAATCATATACATATATTTAATTTATAATTGTAATATTTCTTACTATAGACCATTTACTTCATTCTTCATTACAGTCTTAATAATAGATTACTTTGTTGATAACTTCAAAGGGGATCTTGAAGTCAAACCTTCCAGTATTTGCATTCAAATAACGTCTGCACAATAAAGTATTTCTCTATTGTAGAATATCAGGCTGCAGATGTTCTACTGTTTACAGACAGTCCATATACGTTGAAAATTCTTCCTTCGTTTTGATATTTACAGCTTTCACAAGCAGTTCGGTATCACCAAATATGAAGGAAGCCTGCAGACTATTATCGTCTTTCGATAAACCATTTGCATGTGCAACTTTTAGTGTACCAATGTGTTTGCAACCCACATCTGTTGAATATTCGGGATACATTTCTTCTGTACAGTATACACAAATTGTCGTTTCGTCAGGGTCGGTTGGTGTGTATGGACCTTTAGATACACATTTTCCAATAGTAACCTCTTCTCCAGCCTGTATAATTTTTTTCAGGACATTGCAAGCCTTTTTCTTACCATCTATAAAATCTACTTCAGCATTTTTATGTTTTTGCTCGTCATAATCTTCAAAGATAGCCATCCCGTATGTGTGGGTCATTACTCTTGAACGTACAGTATCCTGAAAATGTCCGAACCGTACTGCACCTTTGAGAACGACAAGACCTGCCTCTTCTGGGATAATGATTTTCTTGGACTTTAATTCTCTCTGTATCAGGTCTTGGACTAATTTACACTCGCCAAATCCACCAACTAAAAGAACTGTTTCGACTGTTTGCATATTCTGTTTTGCAAGAATATGTTGTACATGCTCAATCACGCTATTGATAGGAGTTTCAAACCATTGTTTAACTACAGAAACATCAACTCTCAATTTGTCGCTAGAAAATGTAACCATTCCCGACAATCCCAGATTGGCAATTCTTTTCTCTAAGTGAAGACTGTTACTCTCCTGATAAAGCTCTTTAATTGATGCAGACAGTCTAAAAGTAAATTTCCCCTTTGATTCGGGATTGATGCTTCGCTTTTTTATTTCGAATTCCCTAAGCATTTGAAAGTAGTCTTCCATTTGCTCACTTTTAAATCTTTCCATTGTGGTATTCCCGAATATCTTGGTCAGCCATTCTAAATAGTTGTTATCAACAACTGTTCCTCCCCAGGGACCACCGCTTGCTTTATGGAGTTCCTTTAATGTGTCATCGATTTGTTTCTCATGCACAGATATATCTGCAGTACCGCCTGAAACAACATTTACAAGCTAATGCATTCAAATATTTTATTTTAATTAAACAAGAGCGATAACTGATCACATATGTTTTGAGAGGTGATTGGACATTTTATTCTGTATATGTCGCAGTTACTTAGTAGCATGTTGCAGGAACTGTAGCAGGTTACATAAAAAACTATTACCAGGTCAGAACGCCATTTTATTCGAGGACAATTACTCAGCCAAAATTCATTTAGCTAAAACAACTCATTAATTATGCACAGTACTTCTGGTAACGATCCATCCTGTAACATTTCATTCAAATTACATAAGCAGTTTAAGCGGATAAGTCCGGACAAAGTTTAATGATAAAAATCATCGAAAGGTCATAACTCTAAAACAAAAATTGATATAGAAAATGCTTATGATACACACAATTAACCTTACTACTGATAACTACAAAAAAATTTGGATGAAGTTCAACCAGTAGATTCTGAGGTTATTCCGGGCAAGATTTGTGAGGGACAGACAGACAGGCACGGAGAAGTGATTTCTGTAAGTCATGGCTACTTTGTAACATGCAGCAGCTACTGTATAGCAACGACACAAAAATAACAAGCAAATTCGTTGACCTTATATCCCCCGCCGAGTACTGGTTATTAATAACACAACAACAGACATAAGGCTTTATTTATATACTTATCATGGCATAAACAGTAATATACTTTGTGCATAATAAATATTCAAGGCAATAACAGAGCCTTAACTCGGTTGTTAAATAGTAATATCTGGACATGACAATGAGTTGTAAATTGCCTTTTTGTATCCATGGTTCCCATAAAGTTTTGTTGAAATCAATACAGCAGTGGCAAAGAAATAGCAATATTGCTCTATATGCATACTACATAACTAATCAAGGCCCATAACTCTGTAATGAAGGGTCTGGTCTGAACAAGGCAACATATTATGCATATCTCATCTTGGTATAAATGGTTTCCTTAAAGTTTAATTACATTCCAGCCAGTAGTTGCAGAGAAGTAGCGTGGAAACAATTATTGTTCTATATACATACTGCATAACAAATCAAGGGCCATAACTCTTAGTTAGTGTCTGACCCGAACAAGGCGATGATATGCTCATCCCCTCTTGGAATTGAAGGTTTTAAAAGTTTTCCCTATATGCATACTGCATAACTAATCAAGGGCCTAAACTTTGAGTTAAAGTGTCTGACCGGAACAAGACGAGATATGCCCATCTTCTCTTGGTATTGAAGGTTCCCATAAAATTTCTTTGAATTCCAGCCAGTAGTTGCAGAGAAGAAGCGCGGAAATGATTATTACTCTATATGCATACTGCATAACTAATCAAGGGTTATAACTCCGAGTTGAAGTGTCTGACCTGAACAATGCGACAATATGCGCATTTCCTCTTGGTATTGAAGGTTCCAATAAAGTTTCGTTGAATTCCAGCCAGTAGTTGCTGAGAAGTAACACGGAAACGATTATTGCGCTATATGCATACTGCATAACTGATCAAGGACCATAACTCTTGAGTTAAAGTGTCTGACCGAAACAAGGCAACGAAATGCGCATCTCCTCTTGGTATGGAAGTATCCCATAAAGTGCCGTTGAATTCCAGCCAGAAGTTGCAGAGAAGTAGCACGGAAATGATTATTGCGCTATATGCATACTGCATTACTTATCAAGGGCCATAACTCGGAGCTAAAGTGTCTGACCGTAACAAGGCGACGATATGCGCATCTCCTCTTGGTACTGAAGGTTCCCATAAAGTTTCGTTGAATTCCAGCCAGTAGTTGCAGAGAAGTAGCACGGAAACGATGTTTGCTTTATATGCATACTGCATAACCAATCAAGGGCCATGACTCGAAGTTTAAGTGTCTGACCGAAAAAAGCCGATGCTATTGGTATTAAAGGTTCCTATAAAGTTTCGTTGAATTCCAGCCAGTAGTTGCAGAGAAGTAGCGCGGAAACGAAATTCTGACGGACGGACGGACAACGCCAAAACAATATCCCCCTCCTGATTCCATCGGCGGGGGATAATTAACAAGTTAAAACTGTTCAATGGCTTAAACTCAGCCAAAAAACATTCAACTTCAAAACCAGTTAACCTTTTCCCTTATATAAGTGGGTTTTGACGGCTTTTTGCCCCCCCCCCGCTTTTTGAGGCCTCAAACAGTTAACAAATGCCCTGTTTAGACCCCAAACACTGTTTTTCGTTTGAGAAATGTTGTTAAAAAGTGATAATTTTTTCGGCGCCGCCCCCATCCAAATGTTACACCAGGGGGTTGCAAGAAGGAAGATGTGCCCTCTTCTGTTGGGGGGGGGGGGTTTGAAGGGGGGCAGTGCCCCTCATCGCCAAGAAAATTTAAATTTAAGACATGTGACAGGCTAAAAATGGCCTCAGGTCCATCTTACGGTAGCTAGTAACCGATGCTGAAAAGCCTTTTACTCTATCTCAATTTGCAGCACTTTGAAATCAGTTTTGATGGGAAAAAATGCAAAGAAGTGATTTTTTATTTCCAGCCAGTAGTCGCAGAGAAGTCGCGTGGAAACAATTATTGCTCTTTATGCATACTGCATAACTAATCAAGTGCCATAACTCTTAGTAAGTGTCTGACCCGAACTAGGCGATGATATGCTCATCCCCTCTTGGTATTGAAGGTTTTAAAAGTTTTCCCTATATGCATACTGCATAACTAATCAAGGGCCATAACTTTGAGTTAAAGTGTCTGACCGGAACAAGGCTCCCATAAAATTTCTTTGAATTCTAGCCAGTAGTTGCAGAGAAGAAGCGCAGAAATGAATATTGCTCTATATGCATACTGCATAACTAATCAAAGGTTATATCTCTGAGTTGAAGTGTCTGACCGTAACAATGCGACATTATGCGCATTTCCTCTTGGTATTGAATGTTCCAATAAAGTTTCGTTGAATTCCAGCCAGTAGTTGCTGAGAAGTAGCACGGAAACGATTATTGCGCTATATGCATACTGCATAACTAATCAATGACCATAGCTCTTGAGTTGAAGTGTCTGACCGGAACAAGGCAACGATATGCGCATCTCCTCTTTCATTGAGAAGTTGCAGCACTTTGAAATCAGTTTTGATGGGTAAAAACAATGCGAAATAGTGATTTTTGGCAATTTTGAGACGTCCCCCGTTGCCATGGTAACAGAAATTTACGATTGAGGATTCTGTTACAGAGGCTATGGTCTAGTCAACATTTGTGCCAAGTTTCATCAGTATTGAAGCATTTTTCATAGTTTCATAGCAGTTTGAACTTGTTACAGGAGGCTTTTAAATGAAAACGGCCATTTTCGCAATATGCTCATGGGGTAAAATGTTAATTAAAAGAAAAATAAACAAATGTTAAAAAACAATAACTTTTCACCAAAATAAAGCGTAAGGGCGCGTGTTAACATGGAAAAGCTATTTTTAAAACTAATTTTTGGGTAATTCCAATGTTTTTTTTATCATTTTTTGTTAACCTTTTTCCCTCATATAAAAGTGCTTTGAAAGGTTTTTGTCCCCCCTTTTTGAGGCCTCAAACAATGAAAAATGCCCTGTTTAGGCCCTAAACAATGATATTCGTTTGAGAAATGTTGTTAAAATAGTGACCACTCTTTCGTCGCCGCTCCCATCTAAATGTTACATCAGGGGGTTGCCAGAAGGGAGATGTGTCCCTTTCTGTTTGGGGGTTTGAAGGGGGCGGCAGTCTCCCTCATCGCCAAGAAAATTTAAGATTAAGATTTGTGACAGGCTAAAAATGTCATCAGGTCGATCTTGCCGTAACTAGTAACCGACGCTGAAAAGCCTTTAACTCTATCTCAATTCATTGAGAAATTGCATAACAAACTTTAAGAACAAAACTTATAAAGGTAGACCACTGCTAATCGGCACTGCAAGGAACTGTAAAATGGACAGCATAGGACGGTTATCTGCCTGAAAGGTCACATGTAGTCACAATTTAAATAAAATTATCCGTTTGGTTTATGAGTTATTGACATTTTTCTGAGCTACGACTTTGCTAATAGAAGGACATTTTTTTTCAGAAATGGGAAAACTCGTAATAGCGGAAATCTATAATATCATCATTATGAAAAATGTTTTCCTTATGCTCATTGTTAATGTTTTCCTAATGCTCATTGTTAAAAAACAAATAATAACATTCAGGTATCAAAATATACACGCCCAAAATATATTGTTCCTAAACAAGATGTTTTACTATGTATAAAAATGTAACCCTACCCCACCCACTTAAAACATTTATGTTACCCTTTCCCTACATAAAAAGCCTTATTCAAAATGTCCTTAAAATTTACCACACTAAGAGGCTGTTTACAAAGTTTGCCTTAATTTTTTTAAAAGTGTATTGGTTGATATTTTGCAAAATGTTAAATACTTCTACCGTGTAGTTTTTATTTGAATAAACTTTGAAACTATCTGGTATCACTTTGCTATTAATTTTATCAATATTTAGCAATTAAATACCTATTATAATTATTTAATTAATATCAAACACGTTTTTCTTCCATAAGGGATCTGGGAGAAACATAAATAATGTTAAAAAGAAAAAATAGAAAGAGTTTTTTGCCCCTTCTGGAGTTTGAACCCAAGCCCTTCAGTTTCAATACAGTTGACAAGTGAGTCTAGCCTGTTTGAATACTCTCCAAAATTGAGGTATGTATTAGCAGTGGTCTACCTTAAAGGGCCATAGCAGTGGTCTACCTTAAAGGGCTATAACAGTAGTTTTGAGGAGTAGTGTTACAGACGGACGCCGGAGAAGTGATATATATGTGTCGCCGCTCTGTAGTAAGCGACACCAAAATTACGTGTAAACCGTTCACATTGTCCAATTTATACAAAAATTGACTTTTAAGATGAATATGACGAGAAAAGTACTGAATTGATATTAATTTTGCAGCGTATATCGCATAATATTCACCTTCTAAGAGTCCAGATCTACTTTAAATCAAAATACATAAAAAGCTTTTGTAAGACTTATCACTTTGGTCAATAAATAGTACATCTACGCGCAAGCGCAAATCGAAATTGTATTAGTTTGTTCACTTTTTCCATACTCGAGCCTTAAGTTTTAAATGAATGCATCCGAACGTAAGTATTCGTAGTATTTTAAAACAAGACGACCTTGATGGCCCTAAGTCACTCGCCAGAAACAACTGTTTTTCAATGTTAGAAATTATTTTTCAATAGCTCAACTTTATCTAACCAAAGTTCAAGTGTGTACGTCACAAAACAAAAAAGTCGGTCACTTGGTTAAAAAATATCAGAAGTAGGTCAGCTGATATAAAAATTCAATTCAACACAAAATTACACACCAGATCCAAATTTCAAGTCTGTACATTACAAAAAAGTATGTCAAGCGATAAAATATTAAAAATAAAAATATCTAAAGTAGGCCAGTTGATATTAAAATTAAAAATATAAATCAGGATCAGAAATTAAACCCTTGTCCAAATTTCAAGTGGGTACTTAAAAAAACGAGAAACTAGGTAAAACGGTATCATTAATATCAAAATTAATTCAGTTGATATCTTAATTCAATTCGCATCAGGAATTAGATTTCTGACCCAAATTCCAAGTATTTACATAAAAAAACAACAAGAAAGTAGGTGAAGATGTTTCAAAAATATCAATAACTGAGAAGGTTAGTTACATTGCAAACAGGTCATGACATTAAGACCTCCTCCCACCTATTTAATATTTTCTTAGGAAAATTGCATAACATATGTATGGAAGACATTCCATTCAATTGTTTCCTTTTCATTACTAAGACATGCCATGGCCTGGGTATTTTAGTTTAGCGGTGCATAAAAGGGCCAATTAAATTAATATGAGAAATTTTGATAAATGTTAACCTAAGAATGTTACAGACAAAGTTTGGTGATCATCCACAATTACTTCAGTAGAGAATGATGTTTAAATGCTTTTCTAGTTTTAGCTCTAGAGACCCCTAAAAGAGGCCAATCAAATTGATATGAGCAAATATGATAAAAGTCTACTACCTAAGAATGCTACGGACAAAGTTTGTTGATCATTCATTAATTAGTTCAGTATATAAGACGATTAAAGGTTTTCTATTTTCAGTTCTCTTGACCCCTAAAAGAAGCCAATTGAAATGATATGAGCAAATTTAGTTGTGACTATCACAAGGATACTACAGACTCAATTTGAAGTAAAACAGTCCAGCTGTTTCAGAGAAGAAGGTAAATGTTGACGCATCACGGCTGACGACGACGCGGGAATTCCGCTTTGATACTAATAGCTCACCCTGAACAGTCGGTTCTGGTGAGCTGATAAACATAAAGACGCCAACTAAATTAGACTAACTTGACTTTCATTTACGCGTTCACCAGCGTTTTTTACAACCGTGTGTGACTTCAAATTTCATTGTCGCGTTCTTTGGCAAGTTTGAAAAATCCAGAAATTCTATATTTATGAACAAACAGTGAATATACACTGATACTGAGAAAAAGTATTTCGAAGCCGATCAGAGAAGAGCATTTCAAAGCTATTTATTGATTTTTTTACCCTTCACTAAATGTTGAATAATTTTAAAGTGCATTATGTAAAAAATGTGATAAAACAATTAGTAAATGTAAAACAAATATCACAAATTAATTTAAGGTGATTCCGCTTTGTCAGCCATGTTTGTTTTCACAAAGTCTGTCTAAGAAATATTTGAAATTAAAAACATAAAAGATCTTTGTTGATGTTACTACGAGAATTATTTAATGATTTATGTCACTATCAGGTTTCCATTGGTTTATCCCAATAGTATATAAAACGCTTTCTTGCCAATAATGGGTAAAATGATCAAGATTATTTAATTCAAAATGCATGTAACAAAACAAAAAATAGAAGTTACATTGAGTTTGATATAGCAGCAAAGCAGATATATCATGAATTGCGTGGCAAATATGGACCTTAAGTCATTTCAAAGCGCACAATCGTTAGGAAGGTCAACGATTTAAATTGTCCGTAAAATATGATTATCGTTCGGGTACGCCTACAACCAAGGTTACCAAGGCAACGGTTGCCTCAAAGAAGGACTGATAACAAACATTGGTTCCAATAATATCAAAATCGGCCCTGTATTTCTTAAAGGACTATTGGTACGGTCAAATATTGTATATAATTTTCGTTAATTCCAGTTGACAAGTAATTCAAAAGCCATCTTGTCCATCTGGACCCGGTTGTACAAAACATTGCTTAGTGATAACCAACGGATAAAATAATTATCCACTGGCTAGAATTTGTCTGTTGGGTAAATTCTGTTGTTCAAAAATTGTCTTACAAATAAGATGCTCTATCCGGTGGTTTACTTTAAGCAGTCCTATGACCACCGGATAACACCTTTTATCAGTGGTTAGTCATCATTAAAACAATAAAAATCATTACAACATGTTTGAAACAAGTTTTTTCTTACAAATATATGTTTATTTTTTCTTAACTAGAACATTTCATTTGAAGTGCATATCATTTCTAAAAAAGTGCTTTTAGAACCTTTATCAATTTAATTGTTGTTTTTTGTTGTTGCTCAGAATATTCAGTTAAACAGTCACAACTTTCATATTTTTCAATTAAACAAACAAGTGTCAGTACTCATTTTCATGTTTTTGATTTTTTCTTATGTGTGTCTCAGGGGAAAAAAGATCTTTCGATACTTGAAGGCTGAAAACATGTTAAACTGATTCTTTAGGGAATTCGTAGTTCTTTAAAATTTCTTATTAAAAAAAAACGTTCATTTTAATTCACTAACCGTGGTACTTAATCAGTGGATAAAAACGCAAGTCACTGGTTAGGTGGCCAGGGCACTATCTAACTGTCGAGCAATGAAAAAAGGATTTAACCAGTGGCTAACTTGTCCATTGGTCACTTTTAAACACTGTTTTGATTAACCGGGTCCATGTCACAAAGTAGCTGGACTGTTCTATAAGACTTATGTACATTTACTGAAAATCGAGAAGGCATTTTTACAGCAGGAAGTGTCCATGCAAATTGTGGTGAAGAGTCTTTATTATACATGTCAATGCATCTTATCACAAAAACAAGATTGTTAAGTCTTTCTTGACGTCTGAAAATGTGAATTTTTAATTTTCCGCTTTATTCTCCTGACTTCAATCCTTGAGATTTCCCGTACTTGCTTTCAGGTACAAGATACATGTAAATGTTCAGGAGTTTTCCTTGCAGCGCAATGTATCAGTGTCTGTGACAGTTTACAAAAAAAGATTTCAGCCTTGCGAAACGGGACAGAGAGATCATACAGATGCATATAAGAAGAGTTAAAATAGAAAACATTATTTTTTATAAAATGTAGGAGTTACAGGAATTGTAGCCAGTGACAGGACTTATTCAGTGACTCTCGTATCATCATTCTTTGGTAGTTTTCCGTCATTTAGATGGGACTTAATTTTCTATAAAATAACTGCTTTTCATTGATTTATTATAACTTAAAATAATTTTTATATGAAACAGGATTTATAATTTTTAAAATCAATTATTTTGGTTAGATTGGACTGCCGGTTTATGATGTCACATTATGACCAATGTTCCTAAGTATCGGTACATCTAATGTACCACCTTAACTACATGGTGCAGGTTTGATTCTAGGATTCTCGAAATTAAAATCAACCAAACTGATATAGAAATCAAACAAACTGTTACAAGTCATTTTTAATTTTTTCTTAAGCATTTATAGCCGAGTTATGAGGCAGAATTAATTGTTTTTTGTTTTTTTATAATTATTTGGCTAACCTCCGAGATCGATCACCATGTATTGTCTCCCTGCTTTAGACCATGTCTCCTTTACATCTGTAGAAATTGTCTGACACCAAATAGACGCTGCTTCTGGTTCAAAAGATAGCTTTAGACGTGCCTTATCTATGCCAGCCTTTTAATTAAAAACCAAATAAATATTATCAGTAAAAAAACAACAACATAATAAAACAACAAACAAACAAAAATTTAAAAACGAAACGGCAACAGAAGAAATACATTTGAATGATTGATACAATTTTAAGCTTGTTTTGATGTAAGCTTTAGTTAGATATAAGATTTAATTTGAATTGTCTGATCATTTCAAAGGCCGATCCTTTTACATAAGGCAGTCAAAGTTTATTTGCCCTATAAGTTTATGTGTTTTTTTATTTTATTTTATCGTTAGTCACATTACAACATTTCATAGTATTCCATGAAACATCTGTGTTCTCTTTCAGCTAAAGTTAAAGACTATTGAATATCTTTTAAAAAGCAATTTGTTTAAGGAAATTGCTTAGTTTTGTGGTAAAGAACTAAACACACTACTCTTTACCGAATCTTGATGGACCTTTACACAATCACCTGAAAGGTAATTAGCTACATGAAAAGCAAAATATATTTCTGTATTTATGTATTAAAAACGTAATTTACATTTTCTGCTGCTTCACGCATGAATTGCTTAGCATTATCATTCCATATGGCAGGTACAGTAATAACATATTGTATGTCTTCATCAACAATGCCGGTCTTTTGTTTGTTGAGTGCCTCAGTGAAATGTTGTTTAAGATATTTTATTGACATTGTAAAGATCGTCATTGCTGGCATTGATTTTCCGTTTATATCTTCAACGGTGGTCGATCTTGATAGATCCTGCGAACATAAATAATTACCTTTTTATAACTGAATTATTTATTATTGTCGTTTTATCATTAACGCCTTCATTATTAAAATGTTGACCATATATTTTACGATTTTTAGTTAAATAAAATTATTGTTTCTCCGTTCATATCTTTAACGAATGTTTGCTTATCGTCTCGAAATTCAAGTACGTAACCATAATTGTGTTGGTATACCTAATCGTATCTGCCTAAATGTAGTACGTATACAACTTTAACTATGTTGAGGTAAACATAAACAAAGAGATAACATCATTTTGAAACTATTGTTTGGCCTTCAGTCTAGAAGTTCATAAATACTATTAAAAAAGTTGCAAAAAAACTTAAACGTTTGAAAATTAAACATTTGTTTAACAAAGAAATTAAACCCATGAAAATGTTGTTGCTTATTAGATTTGTCTAAGTAATTTTATGTTTCTTTGAGTCTAAGTAATTTTATGTTACACATACTATTAATTGTATATAAATTTGAGATGACAAGTTCTGGTGTATGTCTCATCATTGATGCATACTCCACGCTTTGACCATACAAAGTTGTTCAAATGATCAAAAGCAAAAATCTATCTTGAATAAATTGTGTGTTTTTCTATTTAATATAATTTACAATCACACGCATAATTCATAAGTTGAACATAACGTTTATTGAGATATTTTGGTGACAAAGCTGAAGCTGTTAGAAATTATTAAAATACTGTATGGTCAATTCAGTTACCTTTCAATAATCTTAAATAGATAACAAGTGTTAAAATAAGACTAAAGCTACATATTTTAGCCTAAAATTAAAACAAATTTTATCATAGTGTTATTCAAGTCTAACGAGGTTAGTTAAAAAAAACCTTATTGTTGTGAAGAATCATTTTAAATCTACGAAACAAACGCCATTCCTGGTGCTCTTTATCTTCGACAAGGGTAGCAAAGTGATTTTCTGCTTCATATCCAAACGAGTGGAACTGCCCACTTCGATCGAGAAGGACACAAGTTGGTGTTTTCCAGGATATAAGTTGATCGCTTCCAGCGATCCACTTTTGATTTGTCTGTATTTTTAAAGGGTCATCCCAGAACGAGAAAGCATAGCCACTGTATGTTGTACCAAAGTCAAACGCAACCACAAGCAATGCGGAACCTGCCATTTTACATCACTGAAATAGAACAGGGTGCTTGAAAAAAGTGTGAGATTTTAAAGTCCTTGGGTAAATTGTATTGTTTACAGACTATTAATGTGGCTTTCAACTGAAGACTTAAACCGTTAATTTTATAAATATACAGATAAAACAGCAAACAGTAATGAAGTACATGTGTATATCATATTAGAATATCATTTATATAATAATATAATGCCTTGAGAAGACATTCCTTTAAAGATATACTATGCTCAAATTTGATAATAGAAAATATTGATAATTGCTACCTACACAGTCTCTTTGTAAATATAAAACAAAACTTGTTTTGACTTCACATAAATGTAGAATGTAGAAATGTTATATTTAAAACTGTACACATATGTGGTCTCAATAGAAATATAATGTGTCATTAAAAACTGGCAAAAGACCAACTTTATTTGACATATATTAGGGAATAGTTCACCCATTCTTTTATTCCAAATACACAGTACGACTTCAATAGATTTCAGTAAATTTCCGTGATAAAAATATTTTATTCAAGGATTAACATAGTATAGCTTTAATATTTATACACAAAATAATTTAACGTCAATTAACTAACTTTATAGAATTCTGAATGAGCACACATAAAAACTGAATTTGATTTGGAAACCAGCAAGTGATTTTAAATAAGACATTGCTTTGGAATATTTATCAAAAATAAGCACATTGGGCCTATTTTTATCCTTCTGAACTTAAAACGACGAGATTATATAAATAACACATGGCTGTCGGGGTTATAGAGGATATTGTCCACCGGAGAACAGGTATATTATCCCGAGGCATGCAGCTTCTTTCATCCCGACAGTCATGTGTTATTTAGTTTATTATATAGAGGGTATTTGTTTGTTTTGCATGTAAGATTGAATTAAATTTCACTGAGTGAACACCAGATGTTCCCGGCCATTTTACCTAAACTATAAAAGCTATGGACTTGAATCGTTTTAGGATGATAGATCTCATTAAGAAGAAGTGTAGTGCACAAGAACCGGTACTCTGCATTTCGTATTTTGAGTTATTGCCCTTTAGCGGCGTTTATAAATAACCTATATTTAAGAAGGAAATGCCTTAGTGTCAGCTATACTGTTCACAAGGCGACACATCCGATTCGCGGAGTTCTAGTTATGTTATGATTTACGATTTAATTTGAAATACATTATTGCGATGTACGTGTAACAGGGTCTTATTTTTAGGATCAGGTCTAAGGGACAATACTCTTGCTTTACTGTTGGATTTTATAATTTTGCAAAGGGAGACAAATCCGCCGGTCTTGTCTGATACTTTTCAAGGGAGATTACTCTATTGGTTTTATATGTTGACATTGGTCAGTATTCTAAGAATTCAAATGATTGGTTCACGGATCGTTGGTTTTAAGCTATTTTTATGTCATGTGATTTCTTGGTGGGAAAAGTCATTGTGTCTTTGTTGTTGTAAAGAAGAGTTGGTAGAAAAATTAGTGTTTTGTGGTCAAGTTCTTTATTTCTTAAGTTGGTATGTATTTATCCTGACTGCTGCTAAATGCTTTATTGTAAATATGGAGAATTGCATTATTGTGATTCTGTTCTATTTTGGTTCAGTCCATTGATTGTGAAATTTGTAAATAAGTATGAGTTTCAGAATGACATGTATCTATCAAATCACCTTTCATCTTTTATTCACTATTAATATTTAACCTTGCAGTTAACAGTCACTGGTGTGATAGTCAGAAAAGGTATTAGGTACTACACTCATCCCTCAGATGGATAGTTACATGTGTGATGTATTGTGTATTGTTTAAAAGGTAAAATATGTTAATTGTGTGTATAATTCCATTAGCTATGATATTATATTTAAGGACTGTTGCTGAGTTTAAAGAACTGAATTGGCCACTAGACATGTAATTGATTATGTTCTAGATTAGAACATAAGATATGATATTAATTCATTGTATGCATTGTTTCTACTTTATTTTACTTTATATTTACATATTGTTATATACTTATTTCAGAATGTTGTTTGTACCTATCAAATCTACTTGTTGTAACAACCTTAATTGAAGATTGGATCAGTATATAAACAGGACAGAACTTTACAGCTGTTGTTGAAATGATTTAATCCCGAACTTACTTGACCCTCAGGGGCTCGGATAATTATATTTATATTGCGCCGAACCACCCCTATTACATACGTCACATCAAATATTCAAATATTTTGGTTGCCGGCTAATCTTATTAGTATAGCAAATCAAGTTTTTACGCATAACGTTGTAGATTGCCGTTATTTCATACAAATTAACGAAGTTGTGCTTTGACTAGCTTGGTCTAAGACAAATTTAATCTACTGGATTAGAAAATGCTTTGTTTATTTTTTAATGAGAAATGAAATATATATCATTTCGGAGCTAGAAATCAATATTCTTCACGCGCTTTTCCATATCAAAATATTCATACATGTTCTTAATGAAATATATTTCTCTTTCATTTATAACTATGTTTTCGACATTAAACGAACATATCTTATTCGAAAAGTTACTTTCTAAAAGTTATATTCTTATTTCTATTTATCACCAGTCGAAATATGATAAGATTTTAAGAGTTATGAAAATTTACGTTTAAATGTATTACCAAAAAAAACGGAGAAGTTATAAGCAACTTTAATTATATATTTGTAAATCCTGACTACTCAAACAAAAGAAGAGAATATTAAACCCTATATTAATATATTCATTTAATTTTTGATACCCCGATATAACATTAATGAAAAGTAATTACTTTCAACATAAAAATTCATTATTGAGTAAATATTTGTCAATTGCTATCTAACACACGGGAAATAGGGATATGAAGAATAAAACAACAAGCAGTAAAAAACCACAGACTGATTATTTGGCACCACAAAATTATGTCCATCAATTTGATTTGATTTAAAGCACGAGCACGTTCAGGGCAGCTGAAAACGCTCTTCATTTGTGTTTCATTTGTGTTTTATTATGAACTCATTTTTTGTTTCAACATGAACAATCTTTTAGTACGTTTGCATTAAACATTACCGATTTAATTTAATGGCGTAATATAAACGAATATACTCAAAGATACATAAACAGTCACATAATTTCTCAATTCGTTTAACTCAAGACAAAAATAAATGAAAATAATTTGTAAAAAAACAAACAAAAAAAACCAACTTTATTTCAGTTTTATATTCTTATGTAAACACTCAATGTCATATAAAAAAAATACTTGCGTTTGTTTAATTTACTTTCGTTCAGAGAATCTCGTATCAGTAAACTTTATTCGATAGCTTTTGACTTCATCGGTTGGTTGTGCTTCTGTGTATAACAAATACGAATTCGATGAATAGAACATACCAAATATGAATCAAAAACGTTCATAAACATTATACTTATTTATACAAATGCACATGATACGGTAGTTAAAGTGAATGGATAAAAATTATTGATAACAACTATTTATTATCATACAGAACACTTAAAAAGAGATAAGGGTTTAGAATTCAGATAACGTGTAGGGCCATAAATGATAACGACAATATTTCAAACGTGCTATAACTAATCAGACAATTTAAACTTTACATAAATTACAGTCTAACTACGGGTTTTTTACCCATCCGTTATTATCAGCTCAGTAGGCTCACTGTCCTGTTTAATACATTTAATATAATATGAACGTTATCTATCATTGACATCAACACGCGAATAAAGGCGTAATAACGCGAACCAAAAGTCGTAATAACGCAAAACAATAGTCAGTGGCATAGTAATGTAAGAAAGGAAGAACTATGTTGATCTAAATGAATTGATCAAGATGTGCGTTTTATTTTCGTTTTTTTTTCAATTCTGTACGAATAAATCCTAATATCACACTCTGATTTTTAGCTCACCTGTCACAAAGTGACAGGGTGAGCTTTTGTGATCGCTTTTCGTCCGGCGTCCGTCCGTCCGTCGTCCGTCCGTCCGTAAACTTTTGCTTTAAATGACATCTCCTCATAAACCACTGAGCCAATTTCATCCAAACTTCACAGGAATGTTCCTTTGGTGGTCACCTTTAAAAATTGTTCAAAGAATTTAATTCCATGCAGAACTCTGGTTGCCATGGAAACCAAAAGAAAAAACTTTAAATATCTTCTTTTAAAAAACCATAAGAGCTAGAGCTTAGATATTTGGCATGAAACATCTTCTAGTGAGTGTCTACCAAGTTTGTTCAAATAAAAGCCCTGGGGTCAAAATTGGCCCCGCCCCTGGGGGTCATTGATTTTCCCTATATGCATATAGTAAAAACTTAAAAAAAATTCTTTTAAAGAACCCAAAGAGCTACAGCTTAGATATTTGGCATGAAACATCTTCTAGTGAATGTCTACCAAGTTTGTTCAAATAAAAGCCCTGGGGTCAAAATTGGCCCCGACCCAGGGGGTCATTGATTTTCCCTATATGCATATAGTAAAAACTTAAAAAATCTTCTTTTAAAGAACCCAAAGAGCTAGAGCTAAGATATTAAGCATGAAACACCTTCTAGTGAGTGTCTACCAAGTTTGTTCAAATTAAAGGCCTGGGGTCAAAATTGGCCCCGCCCCGGGGGTCATTGATTTTCCCTATATGCATATAGTAAAAACTTAAAAAATCTACTTTAAAGAACCATAAGAGCTAGAGCTTAGATATTTGGCATGAAACATCTTCTAGTGAATGTCTACCAAGTTTGTTCAAATAAAAGCCCTGGGGTCAAAATTGACCCCGCCCCAGGGGGTCATAGATTTTCCCTATATGCATATAGTAAAAACTTAAAAAAATCTTCTTTTAAAGAACCTAAAGAGCTAGAGCTAAGATATTAAGCATGAAACATCTTCTAGTGAGTGTCTACCAAGTTTGTTCAAATAAAAGCCCTGGGGTCAAAATTGGCCCCGCCCCGGGGGTCATTGATTTTCCCTATATGCATTTGGTAAAAACTTAAAAAATCTTCTTTTAAAGAACCATAAGAGCTAGAGCTTAGATATTTAGCATGAAACATCTTCTAGTGAATGTCTACCAAGTTTGTTCAAATAAAAGCCCTGGGGTCAAAATTGACCCTGCCCCAGGGGGTCATAGATTTTCCCTATATGCATATAGTAAAAACTTAAAAAATCTTCTTTTAAAGAACCCAAAGAGCTAGAGCTAAGATATTTAGCATGAAACATCTTCTAATGAGTGTCTACCAAGTTTGTTCAAATAAAAGCTCTGGGGTCAAAATTGGCCCCGCCCCAGGGGGTCATTGATTTTCCCTATATGCATATAGTAAAAACTTAAAAAATCTTCTTTTAAAGAACTCAAAGAGCTAGAGCTAAGATATTTAGCATGAAACATGTTCTAATGGGTGTCTACCAAGTATGTTCAAATAAAAGCCCTGGGGTCAAAACTGGCCCCGCCCAGGGAGGGGGGTCATTGATTTTCCTTATAATTTTTTTTTATGTGTATAGCAAAAACTTAAAAATCTTCTTTGGAAAAACCCAAATAGCTAGAGTTTAGATATTAAGCATGAAACATCTTTAAGTAAATATCTACAAAGTTTGTTAAAATAAACGCCCGGGGGTCAAAACTGGCCCTGCCCCAGGGGTGACATTGTTTTTAACTATATGTGTATAGTAAAAACTTTAAAAATCTTCTTTTAAAAATGCCAATGAGCTAGAACTTAGATGTTTAACATGAAACATCTTCTTATGGGTGTCTACCAAGTCTGTTCAAATAAACAAATAAAAGCCCTTGGGTAAAAATTGGCCCGGGGGTGGGGGGCCTACATACAGGAGAGCGACCTCAGGGCCATCATGGCCCTCTTGTTTAATAATTTATAAGGAAATGCCTTCCCCAAATAAGAGGTTAACTATCACCCAACCATAAGATACTTTTCTACAAAGACAAGGCAGACAATGTCTCCTAATTAGGACTTAACTGTAACACTATCACCCTTTAAGCGTACCTATCAATAATTAAGATACATTTTCACCCTAATGTGACTTATTTATATCTTACGTTTTTTTCAGATATTTTTACCTATAGCTTATTACATATAACTTAATTAGGAGTGACAATCACATAATTAGAAGACACTACAGGTTATTTGGATACAGGTCATATCCTTAGATAATTGAACATATGACGCACGTATAAGATAACATAAAATAAGATAAGATAAGATAAGAAAAGAAATTTATTTACTATAGTGACATGTGTAAAATCAATTATGAGATACATGTGAATTCAGAGAAACTGCATTTACATCCAGTCCAATGGACATATAAGTCGCCAAGTCACCTTATATTGACACATATCAAAGAGTCAAATAGTTTACATTATTACTGCGCAAATGGAATAATAGTTATTGTAAATGTATATTATATTAATACCTTGAGAAATTAATTCAGATCAATATTGTTCTTCCTTTCACACGTTACAAGGAAGACGTGTGTACAAAGATTGGCTGAAACTATTGGAATAAAATCAACGGAATCTAATCAGAAATAATGTCAACTTTCTGCATGCCAATTTTCAAGCTTTAACGCCTATATTGGCGTAACTTTGCCTTTATTCGCATTATTACGCCTTTTCTTCCGCGTAATAACGCCTTTTGATTCGCGTAATAATGCCTTTATTCGCGTTATAATGCCTTTGCATTTTTTTTTTCATTTTATTTTATACTTTTAGGCTTTTGTACTATATTAAATCCATTTAACTTACATACGAGACCTGTTGCCGCCTGTGTTGATTAAAGAATTGTTGTCGCTTGTACCCTGAGCTTATAGCTTTTACAAACACTCAAAAAGTCAGCGGGAATTTTCAATGGGAACAATTATTTTGCGTGTAACATTCACCCAAAATTTGTATTTTTAAAAGAAATTGATGAAACTACGTCAAGTGAGCAAAGAGTACAGGTTCAATGATGTGAAAGTTAATGTATTGACTTTATAGCCGGCAAATTTCAGCACCGTTTCAAATTGAATTTGAGATATTTTTACATATTTTGACATTTACAGTTTCTTTGAACACGCCTAAGGGCGACCTGAAAGTACATTCGTGTACACTTGAAAAGTAAATGATGGTATTAGAATTTTTTCAAATGTTCGCAACATAATGCCAATAGCCGCTAAGCATACATAAATAAGCAAACGTATCAAAACCTCTTTGACTTAACGAATGGATCGGAATGAAGTCTTTGAGATGAAAGTACATTGTATTATATATAAATCCTAATTGCCGATGTTGTCGTTATAAAAAAACTCTCCAATGAAAAGAAAAGAAAATTCTATTTGAAAAAAAAAACCAACAACAACAAAACAAAACAATAAAAATTCCAAATTAATTGAAATTCAATAGCTAATATATAATTATGTCGACGGCGATGAAGGTAAGGGTCAATCAGCAAAAGTGCTATGTAATCCCCCGAGTCGTGAACTTAAATTTACATAAATCAAGCCCAATCTTGTTTATTGGAAATGATACCGAGACTGGAATAAATAACTTTCTTTGCATTTATGTTATAAACACATTTTTGTTTTCTCTTGATACATTTTCTGTTATTATATTTGCCGTGTTTTCATTAAAATTTGTAACTGTAATTATGTTTGATAATCGCAGTTGTTAACAACAACTAATTTCAAATAAACTTCCCTTTTCAATTTTTAAAGCATTAAAGCAATAAAAGATAATTTTGATTCCTTTAGCAAATGAAATATTAATTCTTGAATAAATGCTTTTCGAAGTTATAGATAACCATTTTCTGTATGAATTATTATCAAAGATTTTTTAAATCATACTAAAAGTTACCTCTGAGTCCGTCCGTAAAATAGTTAACTTCCTTTCAAAGAATTTCGTGTCACGAACGAAGATTTATTCGATTACTTCTGATCTTATCGTTAAATCTTATAACTAAAATACCATACATGTATATCAGTTTATTGTTAATGGCATTGATTTGAACGTTAAAACTTGCACCGGCTATGTCTAATATTAACTCAAACAAATTATCTATTCAAATCTTTTTTTTCAAATATTTCAATCTTTGGCAGCGTTCTAATGCGGTTAGTTTGACATAAAGAAGTTAAATTACTGGTCACGTGATGGATGATTACAACGAAAGAATAGAACAACATTTAAAATATACTTAAACTTTACTTGTCAGATTACCGAAAGTAATTACTTCTTTCCTTTGGACAAACAAAACAGCAACAAAAATACTCGAGTCTTTTTAAATTTCAAGCCAAATCAATTTTAGTGGAAATGAAACCGAAACTTGAAAAAAACATTGCATTTGCGCTTATGTGATAATTATGTGTCTTATTCCTCTTTGCCTTTGTTAGTGTATTTGAAATAATTCTATAAATTAATGCGAATTATTATAAATAACGGTCTCTGTATAATTGTTTTTACCTCAAATCATTAATCATTCAAAATTGTACCTCCGCGTCCTAAAGTAATTTACTTCCTTCAAAGAATTTCGTGTCACGTGCATTGATTAGATTACTTCTGACCTGAATGTGAAATCATAATGCTTATATATCTTATATATTTATTACGAATATATAATTAATTTAATTGTTTAACCGTCAACTTTCTAGACAAAAATAGGGTTAAGGTAGTTTTTCAGTGGTGTATTGCAGATTCTTAGTGTTATGTTGTATTTTTCCATTTTCAGTTTAAAAATAGAAACATAAAACTAAGTTTACTAGGAACCTACATTTTTGACTATAATTGACTTTTCGTTTTAGAATTCAGTGTATTTTTAATATTTCTCTTACTTTTATTATGCAAACATTTTGTCAGAGATCAATATGTTATCTTTTACCCTTACTTTGAAGAGTTTGACCCAAGTGAGTAATATGAATTATTGTGATATCAGCGAAACATGGGTACGAAGATAACGAGTGATAGCAGCGTTTAGTTACGTAATGATGTAATACAGTATCCTACTTCCAAAATACCCAGTTAATCAGAAAAGCAAGGAGCTTTGTTTATTTATTTGTTTGTTTCATGTTTAACGACGAGACTGTCATATTACTTGTCATACCGCGCAGAATACAAAAATAAGTAGGCCAAAAAGAGTTGACACAAGTGAATTAGTTAAATCTTAGAATACACGTTTATTTTCATTACGTAAGTTATGGATGGATCTGAGGCAAAAGTTCTCTTAGTTAATTGACTCGATGACATTTATCACAAACGTGTTCTAGATTATTATATTCCAGAAGGAAATGTTTGACAGTATAACATTCATTACATTCTATTCAGGTTATAAAAAGGTAAGAACATGTTACTGTATTATGCCCAATTCTACTCTAAGAAGAACAACTTGATCATGGCGGTTAAGGAAAGGAAAGGATGGTCATTTATCAAGACAAATGTTGATATCGTGGAGTTTTTTAATACAGCTTTGTCCCCAATTTATTGTCATTTAGATAAAATAAGTACATTTTTGAAGTACTAAAATCACTATTTGGTAACGATAAATCTACTGGTTGAAAATTAAAAGATTCTTGAGCCAAACCATCTTCCTTTTCATTTCCTTATAATCCAAAGTGGCTCAAGACACAATGCAGCATGCGATTCTTACAATTGATATATTCTTTTCTATTTCAAATAGGTTAAATTTGCTATCTTTTTTTTATAAATTTTCGCGAAAACACAGACCTATCTACTAGAAAATTAGAACTTTGACATGTATCAATGATTATTTGCTGTGCGATTCATGTGTTTATGTTTACAATTTTCCTTCAAGTTTGTGATTTCAGACTTGTATGTGATGTTTTGATTGTGACTCGGCCAGAGGCCTTGAAGACCGTATGTTGCCCCAATGTAACACCTATCAAAATCACAAAATTCGTGTTTTCTTGGCCAGAAATTTATAGACAGTCGGTAGAGAGTTTAAAAATGATTAATTCAGAAATCTACAGCTGGATCATGTCTTTCTCTTACATACAACCTTAACGATATCAGTAACACTTAACTGTAAATATTTTTATTTCTTTCTGTGGGTGTTTGATAAGCATATAACGATTACGTGCAATTCCATAACATCAATATAATCGTACTTTTTAAGTCAGAATTCTCGTAGATTCAGAATATTAACAGGATACCATGTTAAAAACATTTCATAAATAATAACCTTTTAATAACCAAACGGCTAATAACACCATTGCGTAAGATAGTTTGGTATGTGGTACCATGTTTGTTTCAAGTCTTGTAACAACACATGCTTGGGTAATCTATAACCACTTTAACTATTTAATTGAAGTAAGTAATGGAATAAATTGCCTTTTTTGGATGGGCAAAGAAAAATACAATATATCGTTAGTCTTCTAACCAAAACAACATAAAGCCTGCACCTTTACAGGTACAGATTTTTCAATAATGTACTATGTTGTGAACAGAAACAGAAAGTGCAAAGACTTATGTTTCAACAGCAACTTCTTAACTATGTTTCCTTGGCCGATGAATATAGTTTTATTCCAACTGTTTATATTAATCTATCAAGTAACAACCCATCATTTCAAGATATACGTAAAATACACGAGGCATAAATTTTAATTGTTACAGTAAGCAAGGCTAGGCATTGAAATTGAATCATTTCTTTATTTAAAACAATGTCATTTTATCTGAACTATATTGTTTGATTGTATTTTATTGATATCCAGTGACAATTAGTCCGAAACATTTGTAGCAGATAGACGCACAACGACAATGTTAAGAGTGAGATTTTCAAAATCGCTTTTTTTTCAAACATTACTTCTCACAAACATATCTGTAACGATATACATTTTCATTATATGTGAAATAAGTACTCGTACTGTATGTACCTTATGTCTACAACTGTTATCTAGGCTATGCTCGTGGATTTGAAGCTATTTGAATGGTCGTGTTTTGTTCCACTACTATAATTACCTTAATTTGTATTAGTCATAACCATTTCAATCGGGTTAATTCTTGAATACTTAGACAATAGTTCAGACGTAGAGTGTGTAGCCAAGGTATAAGTGAACAAATTATAAATAAATGTAAGCATCGCATTTCTTTTTTAATCATTATGTATGCACTAACTAAAAGGTAATTTTTCCCTGTCAAATTTTCAGAACCTCAAAACTTCGCAATTATTTTACAGGGAATACGTAAAGCGGTTTGATAACTAACCGACTGGGTAACTAACTGTCGAATCACTGCTTTAAAAATAGATCTACCTTAACTTGATGGACCAAAAGGTGACACAAATTTGTATTTGTCATTAACAATTACTTCTAATTGGAACAGTTTAATTTTACTTTTAAATAAATTTGCAAACAAAGTTCTAGTCTTGATAAATATCGAATGATATGCATGTCTTGTTTGTTCATTCATGTTTTAAATATATCTAAAAAATATAATTATATAAATTATATGCTTGCATAAGGTTATTAATTCATGTTTGGGAAACTTATTACAGACTCTCAACATAGTCCAGCTCAAATTCTATGAGCTACTTTCCTTTGCTTTACTAAATAATTATTTCGCGTGAACGATACACATGCCATCTCGAATTCTTGTCACGTGATATCATATTTGTTTTCTCTTCTGAATCATTAACATAATAATCGGACAAAATATGATTCGACAATGTGTGTACTAATAATGGGGGATAAAATCCAGGCCGCGTGCTCACAAAGATGTAAGAATCAGGATCAAGATCAGGATCAAATCTAAAAACTTTATTATTCTTCATTGCTTATTCTCATAGATTAATATTAATTTGATAAAATTGGACTTGCAATAGCAAGTTTATGAAATTTTAGTATAAATTTATTGTTATTTGTGCAAGATACGTGCATTTTACAGTTGGTCTAAATATTCATCCTGATCCTTAAATTGATCCTTATTTTGATCCGAATATTTTTGTATTTGTTTTGTTTAATGTTAATTTTATCCCAAATCGTTTGGTTTCTTTGCAAATCAGCATTTTTTACATTTTGAATATTATCATTTAATTAGAGCAAAACAAATTAATTTTAGTAACATAAAACAATGAAAATAAAATCAGGATCACGTGATCCTGATTGTGATCTTTTCTAAGTGAACACAGGGCCAGCTCAGGATTTCTAGAATTGGAACGAAATCAAGAGTTTGTCTATAAGCTAATAGCTAACCACAAAATCAAACTAAAATAAATTCTGTATAAACTATCGTATGGTCATAAAATGATGATAACACAAGTTTCTTTTGTAAACGGCTTCAACATGACAAGTATTTTGATAGTATGGTATGTTATGAACGAATAAACAACGATTTTGATCTTTTACTGTGCAATGTTTATTGAAAGTAATGCAAAAACCTTTATCTTAGTGTTGATTTGTCTTTTCAGAATTTATTTACATACATAACTAAAAAATTCGAAAAATGATCTATGTCTTTGTACATAATTATAAATACTTTTCATTATAAAATGTGTGTCAGTAGCCATTTATAATATATTTATAATGACGCATGACTTGTACTTCAAAACAGACAAAATGATTACAAAATAAAAGAAAAATAAGATAAAAATGGGTTCTGGTCTATAGTTTTAATATTTTACTGTTTCAGCAATGAACTCTTCTGTACACATGTATAGAGATGATCGGCCAGACAAAAAAAACACTTCCATATTCAAACAAAGAAACAAATTCACGTTATTAATTTATTATAGCTAAACAAAAATGGATACATTTAGACTTTTGAAAAAGAAGAACAAAACAAATTGGCGATAAAATATGTCAATGAACATATAAATTGAAAGAAATGTCTCATTTTAATAAGAGCGGAGAATAATGCTTGACAATGATAACTTACGTACCACTGACGTTCATTAATTGGCACAGTCTAATCGATCCTGTTGGAAAGTTGGTTGACCTTAAGGAGATATATTTGCGACTATTTTCAGTGAAATATATCGATAGATGTAACCTTTGGATACAAGTAAAGGCTATGACTGATGTGTTAAAGCTGAAAGATACTTTGGGTGAAAAACCTAACCAAGAAAAGAAAATATTTACAGTGTACGTAATAAATGAAAAAATATTTTCATGGATAAACATTTTCTTTAATTTTACAAAAATAATATAAATCTAGGGACGTGTTGCTCTGATAAATTTTATACTATTATACAATAAAATATGTTCAGAATGTTTAAGTGTTTATTTGATAAGCAACAAAGAAGAATTACATCAACACCATCTGTATTTACACCTATTCAACGAAATTCCATAGTTTGCTATTAAGTAATTTATGTTGGGGTTGGATATAAAAAATCCATTACATTATGTAAAATGATGAAAAAATATCTAAAAAGATGTTGGACTTATATGCAAACATATACATTAAATAGCTTCCTAAATATGTAGGTACTTATTACAAATATTCGTTATTATGTTGTTTTTTATTACTTTTTATGTAAGAGTATCTCCACTGGACTATGCTATAGTTGCATATAAGAAGAATAATAAGCGTACAAAAGAACTCATTAAAATTTGCGTCATGAATGCTTTTTCACTAATTTTGTCAATAAACTATGTGCTTACTTTTTAGAGAAGTTTATCGAGTATTTCGCAAAAGTAGAACATAAATCAAACACAAATACATCAAAATACCAAAGCATATGCTTTAGGTCTGAGATGAAAACACATTAAAAATAATATGTTTACATAAGACACATGTATTTAATCTTATAAAATTCCTTCCTTATCTTATCATTTAATCTTCCATATTTCTAGTGTAGCTTGGAATCTTACACCATTTAACAATTACAAATAGCACATGGGGGAAAAGAAAGATAGCAATAATATAATGAAAAAACAAACAAACAAACAAACAAAACAACAACAGGATAAATGGTCATATAATCTCCTAAATTATCTCTCCCCACCAGTCTAACACAAAAAAATGCACAAACATAATTTAAGATTCCTTCATTGAAAATGGAATTTGCATTTTCGTAGTTGTGATTGCAAAAGTTTATTTACTTCATTGCATTTTACAATATAGGAAAGAGAACTGCTCACACTATGATGGATATAACAAGTAAATAGTAAACTTAGGAAACCATAATATCCCAATACAGTCTTTCAAAGCAAATGATTTATATGTATACATGTCATAACATTTTATCAGTATTTTAATTTTGATAAATAATGTTGACTTTCGTGTTATGATCTCTTAAGACTTGCATAAAAGTGTGAGCAGTTATCAATGAAAGGCGTACGTTATACATTTTAGAAATGACTTTGAAAGTTTTTTTCTAGCATTCAATACATCCTACTGTACGTATAAGCTAAGATACACTAACTTCATACTGACACTGTATCTCTGACATACTGATATGCATCTTGATAAAAAAAAGTATATTGAAACTGCGAAGCGCAATCTGACTTCGTAAGATCAATCGGTAATATAGACACAAATCTTGCCAAAAAGAAATATATAATGTTATCTTCATAATATCCCTGTGAACTATGTATTTTGTCATATCGAAAACGCACAATAACATAAATAAACTTGAGTTTGATCATAAATATATTTTTCAACTGTAAAGAATCATAAAACTATAATCGGATACAGTGACTTTCAAAATTTGATCTTATTCTTGGTCGATCGCTTATTAAATCAGTGAGTAACTGTTTGTAAAATTACTATCAGAGCATGAATAAAAACAATTATTTTAAACTTTTGGCTTTTACAACATGTATTTAGACATAACAGTTTTGGGTATATAGGTTGTTCAAAGATGAATGATTAGTCTCTTTAATGTAGGAAGAAGCTTTTACAAGTGATTCTTTTTATACAGCTCAGAGTCTTTAAACACGAATAGAAACTTAGTACAACAAAACGAGAGACAAATGAATATTATTGTGGGACATATGACATTGTATACCTCGTTTCTTTAAGTCATGTTTATAAATTAATTATAAGACTACACTCTCCAAGACAAAAAAAAGAAGAAAATAAAAAATTGATGTTTTTGTTATTTTGGTTTCAAGAAATTTGTTTGTTTTACTTCTCTCCTTTTCGTGTATGAATATGTATAAAAGTTTTCAATAATTTATACGACATGTATTTATAATATATACTCTTCTATTTTGTTTCATTGCTCTGCTCGGCGCCTTACCGGAGCCTCACCATGATCTTTCTTTGGTATGCTTTTGAACGGGGCTGCATTCGGGGAACGTCGCTCTCCCTAGTTGATCTTTTTATCAAATCTTGAGATATCATACCTTAATGTTACCAAAACTTGTTTGACTACCTTCTGTATATTATTTGAAAAAAAACAACAACATTCATCCATGACGTATAGGCAGATCCACTTGCGATATATATATATATATATATATATATATATATATATATATATATATATATATATATATATATATATATATATATATATATATATATATATATATATATATATATATATATATATATATATATATATATATATATATATATATATATATACAACCATTTGCATTACGAAAAACGGTGTGAAACAACTTTAGTACGTTATATACACAGAAACAAAAACCATATTTGATTAGTTAAATGATTCCCACGCATTTCGAATGAGCTAGTGTCATCAGTATGCCTCAGGCAAACAAGTCAAAGTCAATCATGCAACTTTGTGCCATTTTTTAAATTCTAGTTCTGAAGTGTAAATATTGTTTTGCAAGTATGAAATTTGTTAAAAAAACATGCAATTCATTTAATATGTAAAATATTCCTTTGAAATGCATCTACAAATTCATTAAATTGATCCATGCATGAGGGAAGCCACCAGTGCAACCTCGTCACCGTTTATTAAATACGTCTTGATACAGGAAAAATGAAAATTTCATAGAGATATGTACGTAACTAATGTCCAAGAGAATGTATCATCATAATTTTTGTTTCTATGGACAAATTGTCCAAATCTATTTCAAATTAAGACAAAAATTGCAGTCTAAACAACGTTTGCAATTATATGCATGCAAAGGTATTATACATCTGTAGAAACGAAGACTGTGTTTTACGTAAACACTCTTTAAAGACAGTCCATATACGAAGAAAACTCTTCCTTCGTTCTCATGTTAACAGCTTTAACGAAAAGTTCAGTATCACCAAATATAAACGAGACCTTTAGTCTATTATCCTCTTTCGATCTGCCATTTGCATGTGCTACTCTTACCGTACCCAAGAGCTTGCAGCCAATGTCTGTTGTATATATAGGATCCATTGTTTCTGCACAATAAACATTGAGTGACGTTTTGTCAGGGTGAGTGGGAACATAACTTTTAGAAATTTCTTTCCTAATATTTACTTCTTCTCCAGCTCTGATAATCATATCAAAAATATTATCAGCATTTTTTTTACCATCTACAATTCTTACTTTTGCATTTATATGTTTCTGCTCAACGAACACTTTACAGACGGCCAGTCCGTACGTGTGGGCCATTATTCGCGAACGTACAATGTCCTGAAAATGTCCAAAACGTACTGCACCTTTGAGAACAACAAGACCTGCTTCTTCTGGGATAATGATTTTCTGGTACTGTATTTCTTTCTGTATTAAGTCTTGGGCTAGTTTGCACTCGCCAAATCCACCAACTAAAAGGATCATTTTGACTTTTTGCATATTTGGTTTTGCAAGAATCTGTTGCACATGTTCAATTATACTTCGGATCGGGGACTCAAACAACTTTTTAATGACGGAAGCTTCAACTCTCAATTTGTCGCCGGTAAATGTTACATTATCTGACAATCCAAGCCGGGCAATTTTGTCCTCTAATGATAGTATATTTTCCTTCTGATAGAGCTCTTTTATTGATGCAGACAGTCTGAATGTTATTTTCTCATTTGATTCGGGTTTGATGCTTCTCTTTTTTATTTCGAATTCTCTAAGCAATTGAAAGTAGTCTTCCATTTGCTCTTCTTTAAATCTCAGGACAGTTTTTTTCCCAAATATATTAGTCAGAAATTCCAGATAGTTGTCGTCAATAACTGTTCCTCCCCATGGACCACCGCTTGCTTTATAAAGTTCCTTTAATGTGTTATCGATTTGTTTCTCATGCACAGATATATCTGCAGTACCACCTGAAAATAACCTTTATAGGATTAAGCATTCAAATGTCGTGTTTTATTTTACAACATTCTATATTTATGGAATGTCATATATTTCGTATTATAAAATAATATAGTTTTTACATTTATCGTTAAATTACTTAAAATGTGCTTAAGAAGGACATATTTTAGGAACAATTAGTAAGTGGAATTTCTTTTTCGAGTTATAATACAACCATCTATTAAGAACTTAATAAAATATCTTTGAGTTTGAAAGTGTTATCATATTTGGCTCAATGCTATTGTGTTATTTATTCTATGAACAGGTCTTTACTGTATTATTCATTGATTTATTTCTGCTCTATGTTACAAAATATTTTCGAAAATAGTATCTTTATGATGCGTAATTTGATTATAAAATTTATGAAATTTAAACAGACTGTTACAAGGGTGGATTCAACTGATTTCGTAAGTACTTATAATTATAATTAATTAATTGCTATTTCAACATTTCTTGACTAACCTCCGAGATCGATCACCATGTATTGTCTACCTGCTTTAGACCATGTCTCCTGTACATCTGTAGAAATTGTTTGACACCAAATAGACGCTGCTTCTGGTTCATAAGACAGTTTTAGACGTGCTTTTTCTATGCCAGCCTTTTAATAAAAAATATCGATTTGACATAAAATGCAAACAGGAATTAATTTGAGTGAAACCATTATAAAATCGTTTTTAATGTGTAATTATGCTGGATGAAGACAGTATAATAACATTTCTTTTTAACTTGGTTTGATCTTAGCCAACAGAACAATTTTAAGCGAAAGAACGAGGATCAATGAGCTTGTTTTCGAGTCATTTGCCTTTGAATCTGAATTGATTGGTATCTTACAACATTTCAAGGGCTGATTACTTATACATAAACAAATAAGTTGTGTTTTTCATTTTTATCCTTGATCACAATACATAGCTCGTACAATTTAATAACACACGTGAATTCATTTTTAGTAATAGCATTGTTTAGATTAAAAAGAAACATAAGTTATCAGTTTCCAGTTCTTGAAAGTTTGCACATTCACTCAAAAGGAAGTCAATTGAATGGAAAGAGAAATATATCAAATTTACCTATAATATTCAAAGAATGGGTTACCTTTTCGGCTGCTTCACGCATAAACTGCTTAGCACTATCATTCCATATGGCAGGTACTGTAATAACATATTGTATGTCTTTGTCCACTATCCCGGTCTTTTGTTTGTTAAGCGCCTCGGTGAAATGTTTTTTTAGATACTTTATTGACATTGTAAAGATACTCAATGCTGGCATTGATTTTCCGTTTATATCTTCAACGGTCGTCGATCTTGACAGTTCCTGGATACATATATTATAACCATATTATAATCGTCATGTTGATTAATGTCATTTTTTATATTATAATCTTCTCCATCATATAATTATGATTGCCGTATAATTACGGTTTTTTTTGTTGGCACTATAGGAAGACCTTAGGTGTTTCTCCGTGCATTATTTCAGGTACGAACTGGCACCTGAGAAATACTACCGACGTTCTGTAAGCTTGCTGGATAGCTTCATCACATAAAAAGAATCCAGAGTTCCTGTCGGGTTTCTAACCCACAGTGGCGGGGGGCATGTGGTTTGCAGTCATCGACCTTTACTACTCGGCCATGGACACCTCACCCATTATTGTAATGATAGACTCAATCGTTTCTAAATCGGTGTAATACATGTACAATTTCTTGTAATACAATATTTTCAATATTATAATTAACATACCAAGATAATACTGCTCGGCTTCAAGTCTGAAAGTTTATAATAAAATCTGTCTTATTTGATAACGAGAAGCAAATAAGTATGAGTGGGTTTGTAATTTAAAATTGAAAATTGGTAATGCTGTAAAAAATAATATCATCTACCTCATTGCTATGGAGAATCATTTTAAATCTACGAAACAAAAACCAGCCATGGTGTTTATTGTCTTCCGCAAGTGTAGCAAACTTATTTTCTGCTTCAAAACCAAACGAGTCAAACTGCCCATTTGGACTGAGTAAAACACACGTTGGTGTTTTTAGTGAGATAAGCTGATCGCTTCCAGCAATCCATCCTTGGTTAGTCTGGACTTTCAACGGGTCGCTCCTGAACGAGAAAGCGTAGCCACTGTATGTTGTACCAAAGTCAAACGCAACCGCAAGCAATGCGGAACCTGCCATTTTTGAATCACTGAAAAGATATTTCAAAGTCCTTGAACAAATATGCAATACATTTGGTTGCTTACAAACTAAAAATGTATCTCTTAAATGAAGTTTAAATCCTTTAATTTAATCTTTTTAACTGTGTTACAGATAAAACGACAAAAAGTTTGTATAGAATAAAATGTCTCAATTGTTATTTACTATTTGATTTACTTAATCAATAACAATGTACAGTTGTCTGATAAGTTATTAAAATAGATCGATTAAAAAATTTAGAGTGAAAAAATAAGATTGAGCCCAACATGCTTAATTTTGATGACTTTTTGATAGTAATATCTTATTTCAAATCATTTTTTTATCAAACAATTTTCTTTCATGTCATTTAGAAGTAAAGCTTTTTTTCACATTGTTTACGTATTGTGCTGATGGTTGTTCTCATTCAAATTTTTGTCATTAAATCTTTTCATGTATACTTCCGTATGTGTTAAAATTAAATGTTCTTTAAAGTTAGTAAATTAACGTTGAACCTCATTTTTTGGGCATAAATATTTCATAATTGTCCTCTAAAGACAACGTTAGTACCAAGTCAATCAAATATTCGTTATAATTATCAGAAGTTATAATTGAACTATTTCGTTTATATACTAATGTAGATTTATGAATTAATACACATATCACAGTATAACGCATACCGTAAATAGGTGATCATGATTACCATCGGTTTATACAAGCTTATATCTTGTTCAAATGCAAACACTAAAATATACAGCTAAACATTAAATTATATTTTTGTTTATTCTTTATCAACAGTATTATTTTTGTTTGAAGTATATCTTATTACTGAGGCTTGATACTAGTATTTCGGTTTATTTTTACAAAACAGTTCATATATGCATACAAACTATCAGCAACAATGTGTATCTTTTCAATTTTGAACTGTTTCAACTTAAGGATCTGAAGTGTGAGTAACTTTTTTTTACAGCGTTACCATTTTGTTGTAAATTTAGATTTGCACTACATTCTTACCTAAATGTTCTTGTCGTTATATTAAAAGATAATTATTTCCTCTCTGTTGAAGTTTGTATTGTCCTGTATTCAAAAGGAATTATACTTCATTTTTTAAAATTATTTAAATGTTATCTGATAATATTTACCTTTCACGCGATGAATAGTGAATACGATCGCACTTCAACTCCTTCTAGTATATTTAATCATATATGGCATATCAAATTATCAAAACTAAGTGAAATTTATAACCTTAGTTAATTAGTAAAGCAATATTTCATTCAAATTAGCGCTTTGTGTGCATTGACTAGCTTGGACAAACACAAAAGCGAGCACTGCTGCATAAGACAACGTTTTGTTCTAATGAAAGCGAAGTATTTTTCACTTTGAAGCTAGACTTCTACAATTTTCACTGGTGGTACACCCTCTCGAAATATTCATATATTTTTAATAAGATTTTCTATATTTTCTATGTTTACGACATTTAACGGAAATATTTTATTCGTAAGACTGCTTTCGAAAAGTTATACTCTTATTTCCAATTTTCACCAGTCCAATTATGATAAATTTATTAATACCTCATACAATTTGTTATTTTTAGAATGTTAGATAACTGTCATGAGCAGTAAGATAATGGTTAATCAATTGAGCCCAAACATTTAAAAAAACATGTAGCATTTTATTTTTTACTTTATCTAAAACAAACTGAGAATATATAAGTAGCTTTGCATATATGCTTGTAAATCATGACTTACCAAACAATAGGATGGATGTGAATATTGAACGATTTGGTGGAACTTGATGTATATGAAAGCATAGATATTTTAATTTCCAAACACATATAACAAATACTTGTTCTGTCTTGTAATTACGGTAAGACATTTAATTGAACGAAAATAAATTATAGTACTTTGAACAAAAAAGTTCATTAATAACTAGTAACTAACTATGTGTTCATTGATAATTCAACACAATGGGAAATGTAGAAATAAAAAATACGAAAGAACCGACTGAAATACGCGACACGACAAAGTTGCATCTGTCAATTGTATTTGATATGAAGCCAGAGCACGTTCAGTTCAACCGAAAAGCTGAATGAAACCCTTTTTGTGTTGATTTTATGACCTAATTTTATTTCTTATTATGTACAACTATTTGGTACGAAGGCAATGACGTTATCGATATTATGTCATGTGATAATGAATGTAGTTAATATACACGAAAATACTTTCTCTTTCGTTTTCAAATTTACATAACCAGTTACAGAATTTCTAAATTCGTTAAACTCAGGACAGAAATGAAAAATAATAGTTAATAAAAATGGATATAATTGGAAAAACAAAACGTTAATTTCTGTGCTATATATTAACGTAACATTCAATGTCATATAAAAATTTACCTGCGTTTGCTTAATTTACTTCCGTTCAGAAAATATTTTATCAGTTAACTTTATTCGATTGCTTTTAAATTCATCGTAAGGGTATTCTTCTGTGTAAAACAAATACGAATTTGATGAATTGAATTGAACATACCTATTATGAACCCAAAACGTTAAATAGATCGCATTTGTACGAATGCACATTATACGGTAGTTAAAGTAAAAGTATAGGAATGAATAAAATTGATAACAACTATATATTATATAGAATAAACACTTAAAGAATTGAGGAGAGAGTGCGGGGTCGTAAATGAGAATGGCAATGTTTCGAAAGTGCTATAATGGACCAAAAAATGTACACGAATTACATCGCAACCACGGTATTTTCTTCCAAAGCGGTATTTTATACGAATGCGTCATATTTTTTTTAAAGTAAGTTTTGATTCTTATCATACAATTTTGATTAAGGTTAAAAAGTGTTCAAGTTATTGATTGTTATAAAGATTAAAAAACAATTGTGTTGCTATCAATTCTTGATGTTAACAACGAAATGTTAAATTTACATTTATTTGACGTTCTACATAATGCGAAATTAAGTGCACGAATATTTGCCTTTTGTGCCAATTATATGTCGACAATATTTGCTATTTTATATTTTTGTTTGCTTTTGTTTTTGTGGGTGTTTGCGTGTGTGCGTGCGTGCCTTTGTGTGTGTCTGTCTGTGTGTGTTTTGTATGATTGAATTCATGTTACATATGTTATATACAATAATTATGCTATGATTAATGCTATGGTCAAAGTTAAATAGTGAAAATTGTTTCGGAAACAATATACAGACAATAACAAAATGACGTGTTTACAAAATGATTTAATAAACAGCTGCTTACCATAAATAAAGTAGGAAAAGTACCAAAAGAAACTTGTAAAACTTCTATTACCTAACGAATGGATGGGAATAAAGTCTTTAAGATGAAAAGTATATTGAATTATATGTTAATCCTAATTGCTAAGATTGTTGTTACAAAAAACAAAAACAAAAAACAAACTCTCCAATGAAAAGAGAAGTAAATACTATTTGAAAAAAAAACAATAAAAATTCCAAAACGCACAAATAATGCAAAATTCAGAAGTGAATATATAATTGATGTCGACGGAGATGAAGGTAAGGAACTAGAAAGCAAAATTGTTATAAGTGATTCCCCTGAGTCGTCAATAAAATATACGTAAAACTGAGTTGGAAATGAAACCGAAACTGGAATAAAGCACATTCTTTCCATTTATGTTATAAACACATTTTTGTTTTCTCGTAATATATTTTCTATTATTATATGTGTCATGTTTCCATTAAAACTAATGGCTGTAATTATGTTTGATAATCTCAGATGTCAACAACAATTAATTTCAAACTAACTTTCCTTTTTTACTTTTTAAGCAATAAAAATCAGACAAAAACATTTTGATTCATTAAGCAAATAAAAGATTAATTCTTAAATTAATACTTTTTGAAGTTAAAGCATTTTCTGTATATTTTTTTTCCAAAGATTCTTTAAATCATATTAAACGATACTTCCGAATGCGTAAAATTAATTTACTTCCTTTCAAAGAATTTCGTGTCACGAATATTAAGCAGATAACATCTTATCATATCGTTAAACCTTATAACGAAAATACCATACATGTATATTGTTATTGTTAATAGAATTGTTTTTAAAGTTAAAGCTTGCATCGGCTATGTCCAATATTGGCTCGTACAAATATATTTTTCAAAACCATTTACATCTTTGGTAGAGTTATAATGATGTTAGGCTGACAAAAATAAGTTGACTTACTGGTTACGGAATGGATGATTGCAACAAAAATATGAACAACATTTAAAATATTCTGGAACTTTACTAAAATTGTAATAAGTTTCCTTTAGACAAAAGAGATAAATACTTACGTCTATATAAATTCAAGCACAATCAATTTCACTGAAAACGAAACCGAAACTTGAATTAAACATTGCATTAATTTTGCTTTTATATGATAATTATGTGTTTTATTCCTCTTAATATTTAGTTAGCCTATTTTAAATAATTCTATAAATTAATGTGAATTGAAGTAATTATAAATACCGTTCTCTGTATAATTTTTTACATCAAATCATTGATCTTACAAATTGTACCTCCGCGTCCTATATTAATTTACTTCCTTTCAAAGAATTTCGTGTCACGTGGATTGATTAAGGTCAGACTCTCGAATTGATTTTTCCATAAACCTACATTATGAGAAATGGTCTCTAATCCTACTTTAAAATTGAGTTTTCGTGCTAAAGATATATTTTTTCTACGGGAAAGAAATGTCTAACGCATAATGATGATCTTGTTATATAGAAGTAGCCAATCAATTTTCTTGCAAGATAACTTCATGAGAATTTACCCCTTTTTCATTGAAATTTTCTGCAAGTCACAGGACTGGCATACACTTTTTCTAAATTTTCAAGTAACAAATTATCATAGAGCCTCATAAAATATTTTATTATCTTTAGAAAAACAATATAGTGCTAGTTTCTAAATTAGTTTTCATATTTAAAAACTTTACATTTTCATTCAGTTACCTCATGTCCAATTGAATCTTTTTTCTCTGCACACTTTCAGCCAATCGCTGGCCATGTTACAATACGAAGGTCTAACCTAAAAAGGTAAGAACGTGTATCTGTAGTATGTGCACTTATAAATCTAAAAAGAAAAACTTGAGCATGAGGGTTAAGGAGAGATGAAGATATTGATTTATCAAGACAAGGGTTGATATCAAGAATTTTTTTAGATACAGCTTTGTCTACATTTGATTGTCATTCAGATTAAATAAGTATATTGATTGAGGTATTAAAATCATTATTTGGTAACGATAAATCTACAGGTTGAAAATTTAATATTCTTAAAGCCAAAACAGCTTCTTTTTCATTGTCTTATATTCCTACGTAGCTGGGGATCCAACATATTTTGACTGAGTTTTAAAATTAACATGCAATTGCAAAAGGGGTTTCTTAACCGATAAGGAACATGACATATTGCAGAACCATTATACATCACTATCATATAAAAAGTTTCATATAGAAAGTTGAAATACCTGACACTGTTTAGGTTTGTTAAAGGCATGCACATTCTTATTATAGTCGACTACACGCCGCTTTCATGGAATGTTACAGACGTAAAAATAATAATAAAGACAAGTTAATAGAGATAATTATATTTAAAACTTATGCATAATATGAAATTTAACAAATTTTCAATCGGCCTTACTTATATCAGGATATATACATGTGTTTGGCGTGAACTTACATACGTTTATTTATTTAATTTTACAAACTATTTATGAAATATATAACTTGCAGATTAAACGTATAAAAGTAAGGCATGAAAATCCATTTAAATTCTAAAGTGGGAAAAGAGTCTAAGGTTTACTTGTAACCATCTTGTTGTCGGGCAGGTGTTTAGTACACTATTTCTCTTTTCGTCTTCTTCTATTCTTCCATCAGAATAGTACAAAATACTTGACATTTCTTAGATACCTGAATATTGAATATTGCTCGTTATATTATAAACTGTATGTTAAATTTTCTTTCGGACGGTCAAATTATATCAGAAATTCCATTTTAGATCTTATATATTGTATATCTCAGTGCCGTCAAAGTAAGCTCCTGTTCATCTCTGAGTGAATCAATATCATGCCTTATTATCAGTCTGTCCCAGTTGAGTACAATCGTCGTCTGACATATATACCTAAAATCTTCATATTCTTTTTCGTAAATACTGAGCTAAGTTAAATAGTCTGTATAAGTTGTGTGTAATGGCTTGTGTGTTATGGCTTAAGATAAATTCCTTTGATTTCCTTTAAAGCTGGTATGATTAATTTAATCAGAGCATAACATTTTTTAAATAGCTTTCTCTTGCAAGTGCATGTTCTGTTTTGTTAAATTTACGATTATAGATTAAATGAAAGTCATATGAGTGCGACATCAATATAGGATGTACAATCTTTGTGAAATGGCAAAGAGCCATTAATGTCAGCAATTCCTGCATATTCTTTGACGAAGATATTCCTATAGATTTTGCCCAAAACATATCGTCTTAAATACTAGGCGAAATTGCATTATGCAATAAGAAGTATCGTGTCAACTCTTTATACATGTATAATACCATTTGAGAAACTTGCGACGCAACAATATTATTTGTGAACTCAAAGGAGTTTATGGCGCTGAAGAAACGTCAACTCTTATTCTGTTGATGTCATACAATTTCATAGTTCCGTCAAATTAGCAAGCCTCTAGATGAATGTTTATTTTCATAAAGATTTTGAAAATGTTTTTAACTTTTTACCATTTATTATAGTCCCATCAATGTACACAGTAAATCAATTCATAAATAAAGCACATTATTTAATAAAGAACTTTTGCCAATTTAAAAATGATTTATAAAAGACTTTTTATCCATAAATTTAAAGCATGCACAGAGATTGCAGGAAACAAAAACATGACAAGAAATACATGGAGTTTTCTTAAAAATATTTCTCACAAACATATAAATATTTTGAAATGCAGCAGAAAAGCTTATCATTACATTTTTAATAATATCTCATTTTCAGTAAAATAAAAAAACAAAAAACAATTCATATTATTTTCTTATTGTCAATACATTTGGTATCTTTTCAAATTCAAACAACCGGCACGTCTCTATCCAAAGTAACAGAAAGCATACCTTTATACAATATTTCATGACAGTCAAGTTAGTCATATCGTATATAAGGTTTTTATCCAAAAATGTTTATTTCATTAATTTTACTAAAATACTTTTATATTTTTTTGAAGTAAGTTTTGTTTCTTGACATTGTAAAGTCAAGATTTTGTAAAATTCTCTCTTTGTGATCATTTTGCAAATCAGATATTTTCATACAGAGTGTCATTGCAGAGAAAAGTGGCTTTATTATCCGATATTTTTCTGTCATTGTTAATTCTAAAGGGACACTGATAAGACAGCAGGCAGTTTGTCTGACATACAGCACCATTATTTTAGTATTCAAGTGCCATCATCAGCAAATGTTCTGAGCAATTAACTGCTTATCATCAGAAGTCCATATTTAATCAGTTGCAAAGTAATAATAAAGGCAATAGCTTATCAACAGCCCAAAGGCACAGAGGCTCACTGCCTGAATCACATATAATTGAAACATCATAAATTGGAAACAAATGTTACAAAAACCAACAAAAAACTACCTGGGATATATTTTTGTTTCCCATGCTTAAGTTTTATGACAATCAAAATTTAGGCCGATTTTTACTATATTCATACCCTTATACTGGTGTCAGCTGGCGGGCGGTCTGTCGGTCCGTTGAAGATTTCTTTTCCGAAGCATAACGCAGAGTGCACAAGAAATATGAACTAAAATTTTTCAAGTAGATAGATCTCATTAAGTAGAAGTGTAGTGCAAACAAACCATTACTCTGCCTTGCCTAATTTTGAAGTTATTGTCCTTTTGTTTTTACACTTTGAACTTTGTCCGGGACATAACTCTAAAACGACAAGAGGTATTAACAAGAAATTTTGTCGGGATAGATTGATTGATTAAAAGTGCAGTGCAAAATAACTGTAACCCCGTCTCGCCTGGGGCATAACGCAGAGTGTTCAAGAGATATCAACTTCAAATTTTGTAGGTAAGTAGATCTCATTAAATAAAAGTGCAAAGCAAAAGAACCATAACTCTGCCTTGCCCAATTTTTGAGTTATTGCCCCTTGTTTTTTAAACTTTGAACATTATCCGGGACATAAATTGAGAACTATAAAAGGTATCAACTTAACACTTTGAGGGTAGATAGATATCATTTAGTAGAAGTGCAGTGTAAAAAGCATAACTCTGCCTTACCTTATTTTTGATTTATTGCCCTTTGTTTATTTTTACACTTGAACTTTGTCCTGGACATACCTCTATAACCACAAGGACTGTTTATTAGAAACTTTGTAGGTATTAAATCTCATTGAATAGAAGTACCGTAACTCTGCTTTGCCTAATTTTGGAGTTATTTCCCTTTGTTCATTTTTACACTTTGAACCTTCTCCTGGACATAACTTTGAAATTACAAGAGATATTAACAAGAAACTTTGCAGGTAGATAAACAAGTATAGCACTGAGTAGAAGTGCAGTGAATAAGAACCATAACCCTCTCTTCCCTAATATTTGAGTTATTGCCCTTTTTAATTTTTTCCACTTTCAGATATATCCGGGACAATACATAAGAAACCTAAAGGGTATCAACTTGAAACGTTGTAGGTAGATATATCTGAATGAGTAGAAGTGTAGTGCAGAAGAACCGTAAACTCACCCTTTCTAATTTTGCACTCATTACCTCTTGTGTGTCCATTTGTCCGACATGTTACAAAAACGCTTACAATGGGATGTTAAAGGATGGAAGTTTAATATATGGCAAAATGCTCAACAATCTCAAGATAGTTGTAAAATAATGTTATTTTTTCATCAGATCAGAACACATTTTGATTCAGAAAGAAACTATAGGAAAGTATTGAAACATTTGATATATAATTAAAACTGATTACCAAAGGGATACTATAAACATAAGGATTGGATTTCTGAATATCGTTCTACCATTTCATGTTTCGCAAAAATCGTAACCGTATTCACTAATAGCTATGATAAACCAAGCACTATTTCATGACCAAGTGAACCGTTTACCGAAATTGTGCTGCTTTTTTAAACATTACTTCTTTTAAGAGCTTATAGAGCTTAACCGGAGCCGTAAGTTGCTGCAAAATGACCTCTCGCATGCTTCTTTTTAAAGAAGGAAACATGTGTTTCTAGTTGTCTCTATTTCTGTAGCAGTACACTTTCCATTGATTTCATTATATTTTTGTCTTTATTTGTAAGTTGCCGAGTTATCCCCTTTTCCTTTTTTCCTTTACGCGTCTTTTTATATTTGTGTCATTTTCTGCTAATATATTCCAATATTTTAAAATCAACTTGTACTTACATCACTTATTTTCAATGAGGTCTTTGATCCATCTTACTTTCAATGTATTATACGTATCACGCCTCAAAAGTTCATTGAAAATAGTCACACTCTGCAGTTATCTTTTAAGGCTGAACATTAACTGCATTAACCGTTCATTATTGAATATCACACAAATAACACATGAGAAAATATTCGAGAACATGTATTATCATAACTGTTTTGTCTAAAGACTAATTATTCACTTCTATTTATACTTTAAATTGAGAAAATAATTGCTCTCACATTAACGTTTGCAAATATTGCATGCTAAAGAATTATTCATTTGAAGAATGGAAAACTGTTTTATGTATTTATGTATTTATGATTTTTTATAGACATTCAATATACGTTGAAAATTCTTCCTTCGTTCTGATATTAATAGCTTTCACGAGAAGTTCGGTATCACCAAATATGAACGATGCTTTTAGTTGATTGTCCTCTTTCGATCTTCCATTTGAATGCGCTATTTTTAGCGACCCCATGTGTGTGCAGCCCATGTCTGTTGTTTATTTAGGATCAATTTCTTCTGTACAATAAACACTTACTGTCGTTTCGTCAGGGTCAGTTGGTGTAAATGAACCTTGAGAAATAATATCCCCATGTTTTACCTCCTCTTCAGCTCGCATCATAATCCTAAATACATTATCAGCTTTTTTCTTACCATCTATTAATATTACGTTTGCGTTTTTATGTCTTTGCTCGTCAAAATCTTCAACGACAGACATTCCGTTTGTGTGGGTCATTATTCTTGAACGAACAGTATCCTGAAAATGTCCAAACCGTACTGCACCTTTAAGCACAACAAGACCTGCTTCTGTCAGGAAAATTATTCTTTTGTTCTTTATTCCTTTCTGTAAGAGGTTTTGGGCTAATTCACACTCGCCAACCCTCCAACTAAAAGAATCGTTCCGACTTTTTGCATATTTGGTTTTGCAAGAATCTGTTGCACGTGCTCAATCACGCTTTGAATCGGAGACTCAAACCACTGTGTAATGACAGAATCTTCAACTCTCAATTTGTCGCTGGTTAATGTAACCATACCCGACAACCACAGCTGGTCAATTTTCTCCTTTAACGGAAGACTGTTACTCTCTTGATAAAGCTCTTTTATTGATGCAGGCAGTCTGAATGTAATTATCCCCTTTGATTCAGGTCTGATGCCTCTCTTTTTTATTTCGAATTCCCTAAGCATTTGAAAGTAGTCTTCCATTTGCTCTTCTTTAAATCTTTGAACAGTGTCTTTCCCGAATATCTTGGTCAGGAATTCTAGATAGTTGTCGTCAACAACCGTTCCTCCCCACGGACCACCGCTTGCTTTGTGGAGTTCCTTTAATGTGTCATCGATTTGTTTCTCATGCACAGATATATCTGCAGTACCTCCTGAAAATAAGCTTCATTAGCTTATGAATTTGAAATAAATGATTCTATATATTGTGAACTCATATATTTCATATACATTTGTATTATAATAAATTAAAACACAATTATCGTTAAATTACTTTAACGTCCCATTAACCCTAAAAATGGTAAGATTTTCATTTTTTAAAAGCTTTTTAATTACCTAAGTTTCCGAACTGTTTCTCATATAACATAATTTTCTTTGCGGGTTTTGCAATTATTAAAGTTTCAGTGCTATGATTGAGTACTGTTTATGGAAGTTATTATGACACATGTTTACATTTTGCTTTCTTTATCAACATATATTTCACATTTGACGCCGTTTACGTCAGGTGATCAGCATCTAAAGTTCATATCAACAACATAAAACATACACGTTTCCCCTTACTTTACAAAGAAAAAAAATCCGATACTTAACGTGCCTTTGAAATTTGCATTTGTCAAACATATCTTAGAAACAATTGGTATAGCGAAAGAATTTACCTCAAACTAATTTTTGATAATCAGGGCTGGGAATCGTATTCATCAATTTGTAAACAAACGCCACCATCCTTGAATGAAAAAGGTATATTATTTCTGTTTTTGTTGGAAATAACTGAAAGTCAGATATATGTATTAACTCGCTCCACAATTTTCCGCTTCGTATCGTATATATTGCTAACAGAACTATTTGGTAAAACAAAAAAAGTAGCGAGCGGGCCAGAATTTTTATGAACTGTTGTCGCACGACGCAGATCATATTGCTTTATCAATCGTTTGTTTCCTTAATATAACTTATATACCCATTTTTCATAAACTTCAAAATATAGTTTTGCATCAGTTACTAAATTTTCATTTGAAATTATTTATTTTCCAAGGATATAATAATTGATACAAAATGATACAATAAAGTTGAATATAAAGTATGATACGGCGAAGTTGTAGCTTTGTCGGCAGGGATTGCTTTGGCAATATATCTATTAACCAATTTTACCAAATGATGAGTTGCGAATTAATGTACTGTTGCTGTTGATTATTTAGAATGCATTGTCTCATTTCAAATAAAAGTTCTCATTACAGAAACTACTTTTCAGATTAGCATGAACATGCTACAATATCTTTCAAAATATCGCCATAAGTAAGAAAGGGGGCTCTATTTAGAACTTCAGGCAGAGTGTAGAGATAATAAACAATCAAAACCAGCATCTTGTATTTTGTTGCAGTTTACACCGATTGTTTTATTTACCTTTCGAAAGGAGCTGGCGTCGCGCTTAACATGTATCTTTAGACTTATAAAGATTACTGTTTAATATACGGCGTAATAGATTTTATGCAAGTAACTATGTTCCAATGTTTTCTTTTATTTTACATACTTCAATATATTTTTTGTATTTTCAGTTGAAAGCGCATACCTACTTTGCAACATATATTGTAGCTTAATCATATATAGTTAAACTTCGTTCGCTCAAGCTGGGATCGCTCGAATACCTCCCTTCGCCCCAACTCATCGCCCAGTCCCGGCAAACGTCCTATATAATATATATTGTATATATTGTTCTACCTCGGATCGCTCGTACTCTCAAATCTGATCTTTGGTCCCTTTGGTAGAAATATAGTGAAAGTCACAGCTTCTCAAACACCAAAAGACAACAGAAGTTGCGGTTCGACATGTTCTGAATTAGTGACAGCCGGCGACGCATCTTTATAACACCTCGTGATCGTGATAAAGGTAATTAAGATTATTGACACAAAATCAGAGGTGTTGTAAAATGATATTTTTGTTATGATTATATTGTTTATTCGCCGTCTTTAGTAACGATTAGAAGAAAATAACTGGTAAATTATAAATTTAATTCAATAATTTTGATGATAAGTGAAATGTGTAAAGGCCAATGACTTTTACCCGGACGGCTTAAATTACAGCCGCGGTATATATAGAATGATACTTGTACGTGTGTTTATTTTAGTAAATGACCACAAAAGATGCTGCTGTAAAATGATTTTTTAAAAATATTTTATTAATTATTGTTTAAAATAAAATTTATCTGATAATAAAACAAATGTGGAAAATGTTTGCCAAATCGAACTCAACCAAGTACAATATGCATCAATATAAATGAACACAATGTACCGTTAATACGCATTTGTTAGTATTTACAAGAAATGGCGTATTCGACGAGCTGATGTAGTAACAAATAATTATGTTGACGTTGATAACATTCGTTCGATGTAAACTGGGAAACCTTCAGGTCAATGTCCTACATGATAATAGTTCAACCTCGGTTGGCTAGATCGAACAAATTTGCACAGGCCCTCCGAGTTCGAGGAAACAAAGTTTGACTGTATTATATGATTTTAAAATTTTAAAGTTATTTTAGAAAGGAATGATAATTATACTTTATTTCAAATGCGAATTTAGTTTAAAAAGATCATATGTTCTCACCGATTATGAAGAAAATGAATACAATAAAATCGGCCCAGTTACAGAAGTAAGTTATAACGGATGTTTATTTTTATAGACTAATATCAAACTGCATTGTGAAAAAGCATCCAAGTAACTGCAAAATTGCTATTTTTTGCATTGCAAACACAAAACCATGTAGAAAATGAACATCAAAATATTATCTGCAGCAACTTTGTTTTCTTTCAAGTTAATGGGGTCCAAAGATAATTTTTTTTCGAAATACACATTCCTCATAACAACGGCTACTATTTTCCTCAATGTTGTTATGTTCTTCCGAGATATTTTATGAATTAAGGTACCTAGTAGGACAATCAAGTGTAAGATAATGAAACCGTACATATATAAACTATGAATTGTCTTAGATAACGCCACAATCAGGACGCCAAATTTATCCTATCTTTCTTCTTTCTGGGCTCTCCTCCATCAAGTAATTATCGTTCCGTGTGATCACACAGCATCATACGATCATCCACGAATTGAGTATGAGAGTTCACATAAACAGGAGTAAAGAAATTAACAATCTCACTTAAAAAAATGATTTTCGTTATTCCTACAAATATTTCTAATTTGTGACAGGAATGAATAAATGCATCAGAATTTTTTCTTTCCGAATATGTATTTAACTGACAAGTATGTCTTTTAAACAATTAAGCTCGCAACTATGATTCCCAGCCCTGATAATGAAATAAACAACTTAAAACATCTTTAATTAGGGTTATACTTATATCTGACTTTGGCTTAATCATATTGTGTTATTCATTCTATGAAAAGGTCTTGATTTTTCTATAATTTTACTCAGTATTATTCATTGATTTATTACTGCTTTATGTCAAAGAACATTTTAAACAAAACTATTGTAAAATCAAAATAAATGTCTAAATCAATTATTTTAGTTAATTTAAATTGAGTTGCCAGTTTGACACATAAGTTGTCAGCATGTGACCAATGTCCTTAGGTATCGATATGTCTAATTTTTCGAGTTATAGCTGTAACTAAATGATGCGTGGTCTGATTCTAAAATTCGTGAAATCCAATCAACAAAAATGATATAGAATTCCTACAAACTGTTTGAGGTATTGTTTCAATTAATTTCGTTAGTATTTTAAGTCAATTAAAGGGGTAAAATTAATTGCTATTTCAATATTTCATGACTAACCTCCGAGATCGATCACCATGTTTTGTCTACCTGCTTTAGACCATGTCTCCTGTACATCTGTAGAAATTGTTTGACACCAAATAGACACTGCTTCTGGTTCATAAGATAGTTTAAGGCGGGCAAAAGCAACAAATATGAAATGAGAGAAAAGAAGGAAAACATTTCAATGAGTGATATTATTTTGAAATCGTTTGAAATGTGCAATTATGCTGAATGGTGACAGTTTAATAACATTTAATCAAATTTGGCTTTATCTAAGGATATGATAACAGAAACATTTGAAACGAAAGAAGTGGATATTAATGTGCTCGTTTTCGAGTTACTTTGTATTTGCCATTGAATATGAATTGTTTGATATATTACATCTTTTTAAAGGCCGACTACTCATATATAGCCTGACAAACCTTATGTTTACAAATAGTTACGTTTTTTGTTTTTATTCCCGGTCACAAAAACATCCATCTAACATGTGTGTTCCTTTTAAGAAATATCATATGTTCATATTAAGAAACAATAAACAACTACTTTTACCAAACTTTGCAAAGTCGCTTAACAGAAGGTCAATTGCATTGAAAGAGGAATATATAAATTTCAAAAAAAAAAAAAAAAATGATTAACCTTTTCTGCTGCTTCACGCATAAACTGCTTAGCACTATCATTCCATATGGCAGGTACAGTAATAACATATTGTATGTCTTTTTCCATTATCCCGGTCGTTTATTTGTTAAGCGCCTGATTGAAGTGTTTTTTTATATACTTTATTGACATTGTAAAGATTGTCATTGCTGGCATTGATTTCCCGTTTATATCTTCAAAAGTGGTCGATCTTGATAAATCCTGTAAACAGATTATAACCATATTACAATCGAAGTGTCAATAATTGTATTTTTAAACCCCCTTCGAGAGAAGAGGGTGCGGTGCATATTGTCTTGCAAATGTCGGTCGGTCTGTCCGGTAGTAGAACACATTGTCTCCGCGAATTATCTTAAAAAACTATTTATCACAAAGTCTTTACATTTCCGAAAGAATTGGTCATAACTAGATATTGACCCCTATTGAGTTTTGGGTCACTGAGTCAAAGGTCAAGGTAACAGGGGCCTTAAATGTCCTGATATTTCACAAACTGATTGGTCATAACTATTAAATGATCCCTATTGATTTTCGGGTCTCTATATTATAGGTCAAGGTCACAGTGGCCATAAATATCAGATTGGTTTCCGCGTATTATCTTGAAAACTATTTGTCATAAAGTCTTCATATTTCACATATTGCTTTGCCATAACTTGTAGAAGACCTATATTGATTTCTGGGTAACTAGGTCAATGGTCAGATCACAGTTGCTTTAAATGTCAGAATGGTTTCCGCTCATTATCTTGAAAAGTATTTATCACAAAGTATTCATATTTCATACATTGATTGGTCATAAATAGTAGATGTCCCCTATTGATATTGGAATCACTACATCAAAGCTCAAAGTCTCAGAGGCCTTTAATGTCAGAATGGTTACCGATCATTATCTTGAAAATTATTTATCATAAAATCTTCATATTTCACATATTGAATAGCCGTGTGTAGTAAATGACCAATATTGATATTGGGATCACTTGTTTAAAGGTCTAGGTCACAGTGGCCTTAAATGTAAGAATGGTTTCCGGTTTTTACCTTGAAAACTTTTTATCACAAAGTCTTCATATTTCACACATTGATTAGTCATAATGGGTTCACTAGTTCAAAGGTCAAGGTATTTATATTTCACATATTAATTAGTTATAACCAGTAGGTCATTATTGTTTTTTCCATAGCTTTCATATACCCATTTATGGTAAGTTTTTATAACAAAATTACCAATAATACGAGCCATGTGCTAGAAAGGGGGCAAGGGGACATATGTGTCGTTCGACATTTCCTATTTTCTTTCATTATTATCGTCTTCATCATTATAACATCTTTATTGTTTTAACTTTTTTATTGACATTAAGACGTTCAATAAAAGTATTGATTGTTCGTTCATATCTTACTGTTTCGAAATTTAAGTACGTATCATTATGGTAATGATTGACAAAATCGTATCTGCATCTACATTTTTTTTCAATGCAGTAACAATTTTGTAATTAACATACTCAAAGGCGAAATCAATATTGCTCGGTCTCCAGTCTAAAAGTGTATAAGTATGATGGCAAAAAAGTTTAAAATCTTCAATTCTTGAAAACAAAACATAAGTTTTAACCATAGTGTTGATCCTTTGATTTGTTTTATATGTGAGCCTATTTAATTAAATGTGTAAGATATACGGAAATTGCTGGTGTATATATTATTACTCAATAAACCTGTATTCTTCGATTTGATGATTAATCGATTGCATTCCAAAACAAAATATTATTATAATTTTTTTAGGCTCACGCCACATTGATAAATCACTACATTCACACACGAATACAACAAACGGGAAATAACCTGCACTATTTTATAACGACAAGCAGATGTTCCGTTTCGCAATTTTAAATTGAAAATTGGTAATGCTGTAAAAAGTACTTATTCAAGTTTAAAGCACTCTGTTATCAAATTTACCTGACTGCTGTGTAGAATCATTTTAAATCTTCGAAACAAAAGTCAGCCGTGGTGTTTATTGCTTTCGGCAAGTATAGCAAACTTATTCACTGCCTCATATCCAAACGAGTCGAACTGTCCACTTGGATTTAGTAGTACACACGTCGGTGTTTTAACTGAGATAAGGCGATAACTTTCAGCAATCCACCCTTGGTTATTCTGGACATTCAACGGGTCATTTCTGAACGAGAAAGCGTAGCCACTGTATGTTGTACCAAAGTCAAAAGCAACCGCAAGGAATGCAGAGTTTCCCATTTTTAAATCACTGAAAAGTACGAAAGTTATGAAAGCCTAATAGTGTAAACATAAAGTAAAAAAAATAAAAATGCAAAGGCGTTACAGCGCGAAAAAAGACATTATTACGTAAATCAAAAGGCGTAATAACACGAATAAGGCGTTATAACGCGAATCAAATGGCATAATAACGCGAATAAAGGCGTTATAACACGAATCAAAAGGCGTAGTAACGCAAATCAAAAGGCGTAGTAACGCGAATAAAGGCTTAGTAACGCGAACCAAAAGGCGTATTCTTACACGACCAGCAATTTTCACTATTGAATATAGAAGAACCGAAAGTGTGTGCTATTATGCAATAAAGTCACAGTTGACGTTCTATATTTAGATATGTGACGTAATTATTATAATTGTGACGTAACTCTTAAAGAATTCGACCCGTCGAAAAAAAGTACAGAAACAAATTAGGCGCAATTAATTTATTCAGCAGCATTTATTTGTTGATGTCGTGTTAGATTTGAAATGATATATCCAAATCGGTGATTTTATCGCTTGATAACATCAACTTGTCGTTTGGATGCGCATCATTATATCACTCGGGCTACGCCCTCGTGATATAATTTGTCGCATTCGAGCCCAAACAGTGATGATCATGTTATTGAGCGATAAAATCACTGTTTGGGATATATCATTTTTTAAATAACGCAAATTATAACGCATTATAATGCCAATTTTATACAATATTTATACTAATCAAATCGCCTAGTAACGCGAGAAAGGAAGACCAATATGAATCTGAATTTATTGTTCAAGATATAAAATCATATAGAATAATATAATATACATTTACATTAACTATTATTCCATTTGCGCAGTAATAATGCAAACTTATTGTCATAAACTAATGAAGACTCTTTGATATTTGTCAATTTAAGGTGACTTGGAGACGAAAAGGGCCATTGGGTTATATGTCAATACAGTTACTCTGAATTCACATGTATCACACATTTGATTTTACACACGTCGCTATTGTAAATGAATTTTTTTTCTATTCTTATGTTATCTTATATCTTATCTTATGTTATATTTGCGTCATATGTTCAATTATCTTCGGATTTATCCTGTATGATTACCTAATAACCTGTAGTATCTTCTAATTATGTGAATGTCGTTCCTAAATAAGCTATAGGTAATAGGCTATAGGTAACAAGATCTGGAAAAAGGTAAGGTATAAGTTTGTCACATTAGGGTGAAAGTGTATCTTAATTATTGATAGGTATGCTTAAATGGTGATAGTGTTTCAGTTAAGTCATAATTATAGGAGACATTGTCTTCTTTGTCTTTGTAGAAAAGTATCTATAGTTAGCTGATAGTAAATCTCTAATCTGACGAAAGTATTGCCTAATAAAAAAATTTAAAACTAGAAATGTTTCATCATGCCACGGATGCCCCCGCATGCAGCCAAAATTTCAGATGTTATAATATTTAGTTCCAAATTTGTTTGCACAAATTATTTTTTTCATTTTAAGTTCAAAGCCCTTAAAACTTTTCAATGTTAACACAAACCATTTTCATACAATGTTCAAGGCACTGAAATTATTCAGTCTTAACCTTTTGAAAATAGCATATTTCATATTTGTAGCCAAAATAATGGCTACATACATTTCCACAAAAGTATGAGTGCTGAAACTGAAAGTTCAAAATTTTTCCAACATTCAAGAAAGATAAGTTTGTCCAAAATCATTGAACCACGACCAAATTCAAACTTAAACTTATTCCTAAGATGTATCTATATTATTTTCAAAGTGAAAGGGACATAACTCTGCCAAATAATCATCGAACCATGACCAAATTCCAACTTGACCTGCCCATTCCTTTGACATATCCATATGTCAAATTTGAGTTGAATATGTAAACACTGTTGGGTAGATAATGAACAGAAACTGTAAATTTCATATTATTTTCAAAGTGAAAGGGGCATTACTCTGCCAAAAATCTTTGAACCATGACGAAATTCGAACTTGGCCTGGGCATTCCAAAAACATATCCATATGTTAAATTTGAGTTGAATGTGTTGTACCGTTGGGGAGATAATAAACAGAAACTGAAAATTTCATATTATTTTCAAAGTGAAAGGGGGCATAACTCTGCCAAAAATCATTGAACCATGACCAAATTTGAACTTGACCTGCGCATTCCTTTGACGTATCCATATGTCAAGTTTGAGTTGAATGTGTTGTACCGTTGGGGAGATAATGAACGGAAACTGAAAATTTCATATTATTTTCAAAGTGAAAGGGGCATAACTCTGCCAAAAAACATCGAACCATGACCAAATTCGATCTTGACCTGCATTTTCTCATGACATATCCATATGTCAAACTTGAGTTGAATGTGTTGTACCGTTGGGGAGATAATGAACGGAAACTGAAATTTCATATTATTTTCAAAGTAAAAGGGGCATAACTCTGTCAAAAATCATCGAACCATGACCAAATTCGAATTTGACCTGCATTTTCTCATGACATATCCATGTGTCAAATTTGAGTTGAATGTGTTGTACCGTTGGGGAGATAATAAACAGAAACTGAAAATTACATATTGTTTTCAAAGTGAAAGGGCCATAACTCTGCAAAAAATCATTGAACCATGACCAAATTTGAACTTGACCTGCGCATTCCTTTGACGTATCCATATGTCAAGTTTGAGTTGAATGTGTTGTACCTTTGGGGAGATAATGAGCGAAAACTGAAAATTTCATATTATTTTCAAAGTGAAAGGGGCATAACTCTGCCAAAAAACATCGAACCATAACCAAATTCGATCTTGACCAGTATTTTCTCATAACATATCCTTATCTCAAATTTGAGTTGAATGTGTACAACCGTTACTAAGATAATGAACGGAAACTGATGATGACGGAATGACAGAATGACGGAAGGACGGAATGACGGAAGGACGGAAGGACGGAACAGGGTAACACTATATGCCCCGGCCATTACATGGCAGGGGCATAAAAAATCAGACTGTGGCCTTAGGACCCATCCGTACAGAATTGAAAATGAAACGTACATCTTGATCGATTCATTTACGATCAACATTGTTCTTCTTTTCTTACATTACTAGGCCACTGTTTGGAATTTATATGGTATTTAATCAGCGGTATAACGCCTTTTGTTTTGTGTTATTACGCCTTTTGGTTCGCGTTATTACGCCTTTTGATTTGCGTTATTACGCCTTTATTCGCGTAATTACGCCTTTTGATTCGCGTTATAACGCCTTTATTCGCGTTAGTACGCCTTTTGATTCAAGAAATTACACCTATTGTTTCGCTTTATTACACGAATAAAGGCGTTATTACGCCCTTTGATTCGCGTTATAACGCCTTTATTTTCGTTATAACGCCTTTCAATTTGCCTCATTACGCCTTTATTCGCGTTATAACGCCTTTGATTCGCGTTATTAAGCTTTTTGTTTCGCGTTATAATGCGAATAAAGGCGTTACTACGGTTTTTGTTTCTCGATATAACGCGAATAAAGGCGGTATTACGCATTTTGATTCGCGTAATTACGATTTTTTGTTTCGCATAATAACGCGAATGAAGGCTTTAATTCGCCTTTTGATTTGTGTTATAACGCTTTTATTCGCGTTATTACGCCCTTCAATTCGCGTTATATCGCCTTTCAATTCGCGTTATAACGCCTTTATTCGCGTTATAACGTGAAACAAAAGGCGTAATAACGATAATCAAAAGGCGTATTAACGCGAATAAAGGCGTTATAACGCGAACATAAAGGCCTAATAACGCGAACCAAAAGGCGTAATAATGCAAAACGAAAGGCGTTATAACGCTAATTTAATAGCATATAAATTCCTATCAGTGGCCTAGTAATGTAAGATAGGAAGAACAATGTTGATCTACATGAATGAATTGATCAAGATGAAAGTTTTATTTTCAATTCTGTAAGGATATGTGTAAAGGCCACAGTCTGATGTTTTTAATCTTTTATAAGGAAATGCTTTCGTCAGATTAGAGGTTACTATCACCCAACTATTGATACTTTTCGATAAAGACAAAGAATGTCTCCTATAATTATGACTTAACAGAAACACTTTCACCCATTTAAGCATACCTATCAATAATTAAGATATACTTTCACCCTAATGTGACAAACTTATACTTTACCTTTTTCCAAATCTTTTTACCTATAGCTTATTTAGGAACGACATTCACATAATTAGAAGATACTGTGTATTGTGTTCAATTGTATATTTTACAATGACAAATAATCAATCATTTGGGTGACGCACGGAAATTTCCATAAAATAGTGTTTAGATTGCATCGGTTCTGCTCACTTACTTAAGAAGGTGGTACATTATAATTTATGTAGGTTTTGTATTGTATAATACATATTTTCGTTATCAATTATTTGACAGTCTCCATAATAATTGCAAATCTAATGAAATATATTACTAATTCAACAAAACTTTACAACAACGAAAAAGGAGCATAATGTCACTTGAATATAATTGGATTTGAATTCGGCTTTCATATTAATTTGTTCACCCAGCAAGAAAAATCTAAGAAATGTTCCAAATAAAAAAATTAATATAACTTTGAATATAAATCTAATTTATGACGGCCGGTGTAAGGAAAAACAATGCCATATGTGATTAAATGGTCAGTGAATGACCTTATTTATTTTAAACATAATGAATTATATACAACATATATCATTAACACACATACAGAATTTTAAACATAGATAACTAAATACATGTACATCAAACATATTCGTGTAAGTTGATATATAAACAATTTTGTGAATATCGTAAAAATGATGTTCCTTTAACATAAACAAATAAAAATGTGGAGGTTTTCTTTTGAAAATGACCAGAGGTTTTCTTTTGAAAATGGCCATTAATATAAAAGATAAAGACTTAGAAAATGACACCATAAATTGGATGTAAACAAACCCTGAAGCTATATACAAACTAAGTTGGAGTATAAATTCTATAGTAAAATATTTTGAAGCATAGGCATACTTAAAGGTATCAGATTATGTTTGTAAATTTTTATAAAGTGTGGAGTTGGGGATGGTGGTGGGTTTAAAATGCAAAATTTTCTTTGTTTAGAGTGTCCGGCCGCAATCGTAACTGGTTTAAACCGGTTCTCGGAGCGGCGTGCTGATAAGGGTTAACGATTTTCATTGGCCGAAATTCTTTAAGGGATATTAATGATTTTCATTGGCCGACAGTCTTTAATGGTCTAGCACCCGTTATCCCGTTCCTTTCACCTGCTTACATAAAAATCGCTATGCAAAACATAGCTTAGATTTATGACGGCCGGTGTAAGGAAAAACAATGCCATATGTGATTAAATGGTCAGTGAATGACCTTATTTATTTTAAACATAATGAATTATATACAACATATATCATTAACACACATACAGAATTTTAAACATTGATAACTAAATACATGTACATCAAACATATTCGTGTAAGTTGATATATAAACAATTTTGTGAATATCGTAAAAATGATGTTCCTTTAACATAAACAAATAAAAATGTGGAGGTTTTCTTTTGAAAATGGCCTAAAGATAGGGCTTACTGAGACCTATCTCCGCCACATTTCTTACATGAAAAATGTTAAAAACATAATATGTTTGATAATTAAAAAACATATGTGACTAGAGTAAGTAGAAAAAGAATATCTTATTAATGTATCCGTAATTGCAAAAGACTAGAATATTGTCATCACAAATATTTTGTAAGCTTTGAAAAATATCCACTGCTAGAAGCTCCAATATATGATTTAACATATGTATGATATATATAGTGCATTCGTTATAAGGTACTAGCCCCTGCAAGTAGCTTAAGAATGGATCACCAAATGACGAGTTATTTATAAAACTTTATGCCATAAATAACCCTTTAATATTATCATTATAGACTACAAGTCTGTGAACAGAAAATACTAGAATATTTCTATAACAAACATTTCTACATAGTTTTGAGAAATATCAACTGCAAGCAGCTGCAGAACGAATATTTACATGTATGATATATAGAGTACATTCGTGTATGCTACTAGCCCCTGCAAGTAGCTTTAGAATGAATCAACAAACTCGCAATGTATGGAAATAATGACCTATATCATCTTTTAATATTACCATTAAAGACTACCAGTATGTAAATGACTAGAATATTTTCGTTACAAACATTTGTACATAGATTATGAAATATCATCTGCAAGCAGCACAAAAATAAAAATTTATTTATCTACATTTATGATATAAGAATAACTTCATCATAAACTACTAGCCCCTGCAAGTAGCTTAATAAATCACGAAGTATGGCGCTAATTATAGAAATTATTACATATAAAATCATGAATATTATAGATACTGCTAAGAAAAGTTTTTTATTAGCTACTAGCCCCTGCAAGTAGCTTTCATTAATGGTTTGATAGGGCCATATATGTATAGCCGATAGAATTATTCATGTTAATAAGGTAACTGGTAATTCTGGGCGAAGGTCATAATAAAACCGGAAAATATATATTCGGTTGTTTTTTCAACACTCTGTTACTCTTATGTATTTGCGGAAAGCGTTACTATTCCATCTTCCTAAAAAACGTATTTTTGCATCAGAATAACCTCGTTGAGCACAATCAGTGGCTTTACCTATTCTAAAACTATGTGATTTATACCTATCACTATTTATGCCACAAAAACTTAAAGTTGATTTGAGCTGTTTGTCAAATAATTTCCTGGGTACTGGTTGACCAGAGGGTAATGAAAATAGGGGGCCTGGGGATTGACCTCGCAGTGCAATGTAGTCATGCATCGCTGTAATAGCAGATGTCTTTGCATGGCCATGTGAAAAAGTGATTGTGTGAGGTTTACCGGAGTTATGTTTGTAGAAGCGGTATGTTACTGACACAAATGATTGACCTGCTTCTGAAATAAAATTCATATCTGATAATTTTAAAATAAATGGCTCTGTGGATGGTTTGCACTTTGTGATTTCACTGCATCTTGCAAATGCGTTAAATGCAAAGAAAAACATGGCGGAGAACAGTTTCTCATGGAAGTAGGATTGACTTGTAATTTTTAAAGCTGCTAGCAGCTTGTCCAAAATTGTAGTAGTAATTGGTAGTCGGAGGTCATAAGACGGAGACAAACGTTGGGTACCTTTGATCAGTGTAGATATCAAAAAGTGTTTAGTGGGGTCATATTCTCCCGAAAGCTTATGGACATAGCTAATGCCTGAAAGGTAGGTACAAATAGACTTTGAAGACATTGCTTTTTGGTGTAGAAAACCCACAAATAAGGCTATAACTGAGACAGATATGGGAAGTGATAAAGGAGCTTCAAAGTATGAATTGCTAAATGTTTGAAAAAGAGTCCAACTTCTTTTGTACGTTTCTAAGGTGGATGGAGCAAGAGAAACATTCAACAAATTTTCAACCCCTTGCAAAATGTCTGTGGTTGAAGCTGTGGGCTTATTGTTGTTGGATTTGGCTTGCTGAATGGTGCCAGCTGCTTGAACTTGTCTATCTGAAAACGAGAAAGAGCATCTGCTATACAATTATCTTTGCCCTTCACGTGCTTTGCTAGGAAGACAATATTTTGCTGAAGACAATGTAATACTAATTTTCTAATAAGAAACATTATACATGTGACCTTTGATGTCTGTTTATTGAGAACAGACACCAATGCTTCATTATCTGTATAGAATACGACGGTGTGATTCCGCCAAAGATGTGCCCACAGATAAACTGCAGTTACAATGGGGTATTGTTCTAAAAATGTTATATTTGCTTTGTGCCATGATTGGGGAAATGCTCCGTAGAACCAATTACTTTGGTAAATGCCGCCAAACCCGAAGCATCTGTATGTAAGCATAAGCTATCACTGGATAGCCTTTTTCATTGATGAAAAAAGAATTGCCATTGAAATTTTCAAGGAAATTTAACCACATTTTCATGTCTTCCTTTGCCGAGTTTCTCAGTTTGACTTTATAATGTAACTTTTTTACTCCAATTGATAAGTTTATCAAACGTCTAAGAAATGCTCTCCCCGATGAAATGACAGAGCATGCAAAATCAAGAAGGCCTTTTAGGGAGAGAATGGTTCGAAGTTGGCAAAATTCTTTTGAGCATAACTCTTTTAGAAGTATAGACGCTTTTTCGAGCTTTTCTTGTGGGAGACGGGCTTCCATGGCCGTGGAGTCTAAAGTGATGCCTAAAAAGACCATGCTTTTGGAAGGCAAGAAAGTTTTTTCCTTATTGAGTGGCACATTGAGCATTGCGCACATTTCGCAGAAAGCATTGAGTGAGGCTAAGGCTTCTGAATAAGTAGGTGCAAGGAACAAAAAGTCGTCAAGGATTTTTACTATATATCTTATTCCGAATTTGATGTGAGCTATCCATTTTAGGGCTGTACTGAAAGTCTCAAAGATTTGACAACTGGATGAGGCTCCCATCGGGAGGCATTTATCATAGTAATATTCCCCTCCCATTTAAAGCCGAGTAAGCTATAATCAGATGGATGTATTGGTATTATTCGGAAAGCTGAACAAATATCGGATTTGGCCATATAAGTGTGTCTCCCTAGCGATTTAATGATTGATATCGCATCATCAATGTTTTCATACGAGACCTCTGTAAAATCTGAAGGTATTTGATCATTGACTGAAGTACCGGTATTGCGTGGGTATGACAAATGATGGATCATTCTATACTCCCCTTGTTCTTTCTTTGGAACAACTCCGATTGGGGAGATTTTAAGATTGTTAAATGGTTTTTCTGAAAACGGACCACTGATTCTATTAGCTTTAAGTTCCTTAACGATCTTAGTGGCTATTATCTTGGGGTATTCAGCAGCAGACTTCAAATTTGGACTGTCTGTGCCGATTCGTTGACCTTGAAAATTGAGTTTAAAACCTAGCTGAAACCCGTTTTTAATATATTGTCTCTTTGTATAGTCGTAACCAGAAAGAAAATGATGTAATATATTCCATTTAACTGGTGTGGGTAACGAAGAGGGAAGAGTTGGCCTGGTTAGATCTGATGGTGTTTGGTTGACTTTGTGGAGGTTTAGGCCCTGATTGAGTTGTTTCGGCTGGACGTTTCCAGCATTTGAAGAGTGGGTGATTTCCATAGCATCCCTTGCATTTATGTGCGTAGGAGCATCCAAAGCATCTAAGTCCCCTGTTGAATTTATGACAGGTTTGTCTTGACTGGCCCATTTGTGGGCCATTGGATAGAAAGGGCTGTCTCTGATTAAGTGCCTTTATATATAATTCATGGTGAATTGAGTCCCAAGCTAATGGATGACTTTGACGTAACTGGCGGAATTGATTGTCGTAATAATGCCAGTTACCTCTAGCTTTAGAAATTGATCTTATAGTGTTACTGTACTGGGCGAGAGGTTCAGCAGACTCGGGATACCTTTGTCTGTAGACAGAGGCAAACACAGCGAACAGATCTGTCCACTGTTCAATTGATAGAAACTTCCGGGGCTGAAGAGGGGTTACGGCTTGAATGCCTGCCTTAAGGCCCGGCCACACAGCCCTCCACGGGCGTATCGCGGCCGAATAATGGCCAAAAAATTCTGCCCGTGAAGCAGACGCTGTTGGACGCTTTGAGGTCGCGATAAAGACGCGATACAGCCGTACTTTACCCGTCGTTACACGCGGTAAGAAATTCACACGCGGTTGGCCGCGCGAAAAAGTTTTGGGCTGCCCAAAATTTAGACCGCGGGTAATCGCGGGCGGTACACGTGGTACACACGCGGTAAAGACGCGGTACAGACGGGGAACGAACGTGCTAGGACGTGCTACGGCCGCGGTTAAGACGTGGTTACACGCGGTAGGACGCGAAATTTTAGCGGGTAATCGCGGTTGGAGCACGGTCATAGCACGTCTGTACCGCGTTGTTATCACGTGCATTAGCGTGTGTACCGCGTATAGGCACGGACAAACGCTTTTCTCCGCGTAAACAGCGCGCCCCAATACCGGCCTAATCACGTTCAATTGCGTCTTGTACACGTCCCAAATACGATTGTCCACGGCCTAATCGCGTCCGTACAACGTCTGATTTTAGGTATATTAAAAGCGCGATTTGCCGAGCATTCGTCAGTTGCGCTCCAGACGTCAAGGGGTGAACATGGATCCCCGTCACCGTAATAACCTCGTCTTGCTGCTCCAGCAGCATCAGAACCAAGTGGTACAGGTCCATCAGCTCCTCATTGACAGAAGAAGACGAAGGAGGAGGAGGAGGGTGGTCCTTGAGCTGGGGCTGTACGATCGTCTCATGGTGGAGCTCCGTAATAAAGATCCAAGGGCCTTCCAGAACTTCATGAGAATGCCACCTGCCATGTTCGATGAAATTGTGCAGAGACTGACACCAGCCCTTACCAAGGAGACCACCAACTGGCGAGCACCCCTTGATCCAGGCCTGAAGGTTGCCCTCACCCTGAGGCACCTTGCTTCTGGCGCCAAGTACCGTGAGATGAAGTATGGCTGGAGGGTCCCTCACAACACCATCAGTCTGGTGTTGCGCGAAGTGTGTTCGGCCATCGTCGAGGAGTTCCGTGATGAGCTGCTAGCGCCACCACTGACTGCTGCAGAGTGGCGTCAGATTAGTGACAATTGGATGAACAGTTGAAACTTTCCACATGTCATTTGTGCAATCGACGGCAAGCACATTGCCTGTAAATCTCCTGCCAACACTGGGTCCGACTACTTCAACTACAGGGGCTTCTTCAGTGTCATCCTCCTGGCAGTCGTCACATCTGACTACAAGTTCCTGTGGATTCACCCACGAAAAGGACGCGGAACAGTCGCCGGCGTCTGTTCCGCGGTCATACCACGGGTGAACCGCGGGTAAGCCAATTTTGCACATTTTCCACCACGGGCAACCGCGGGCAAAAACAAATCGCGAATTTTTACCCGCGATACAGACGCGAAAAGCTGTGTGACCGGGCCTTTAGTGACAGTAATGTTGAGCAATTTATCCTGTTTGTTGAACAAAGATGATAGATTAACAAATTCATTAGCCATATTTTTCCTTAACTTTTAAAGATACGGTTGCATGTAACGGGATAGATGGCGACGAATGAAGAGAAAGGTTCCCAGAAATACCAGTACCTATATGACCGTGTTGATGGTCAGAGTTAGAAGTTGAATTAGGCATCTCGGGCTGTGGCAATTCCAGTACAGGCAAATTTTGAGAAGCATTTGTGTCTTTCCCCAAAATGTCTTGAATTTTTTTTATCAACCATAGCCTCCAGTTTGGTTGACAATGTGTCAACTATTTCTCCAATTTGGTCGACATCTATAGAACTTGTTGAAGGTTGATGCGTAGATGGGCGTCGTGACTCCTTGTTCCTTGTGTTATGGTGGGTGCTAGTTTCCGTAGCCACAGCATTGTCGTTTGTTTCCGTGACAGGCGTTGCCCTATTGTCAGTTTGTTTTTGTTTTTTGTTTCCTCCCCGTTTAGTTGAAGTCGCGACCCTTTTCCTAGATGGCATTTTTGTTCCTGAAATTTAAGTATATATGTTATAAACTTTAATGTAAGTAAAACAATCATGTCCCTTATATGATTACCTTATGAGGAATGCAAGCCACATCTTAACTAAACTGATATAAAAGTTATATTTGATAATGTGTTCAGGTGACTGAACGCAAATAAATAATGATTAATCGCTTAAAATAATGTACATGTACAATTAATCACTTAAAATATTAACCTGTACAGTTAATCACTTAAATATGTACATGTATAATACTCGAAAAATATTATGAAATAATAGTTAAAATGTATGTAACGTGTATGTGTATGACATTTACATGTCATGATAAAAAATTGCAGTGTAGTGACTTGCATATCCACTTATAATAGAAATATAATAGTTTATTAAATAGATGAAAAATAAAACTCCAAAAGAAGTTGGCAAAACAACCACAACAAACAACTATAAACGCGGGATATAAAAATTTGGCTGCCACAATGCCAAATATATTGGTATAAAACGAAGCAGTAAATAAAAAAGTCATATTCCAAGGTAGGAACATAAAGGCTATGGATATAAATAAAATAGCCATGTTGGCAAAAATGTGACCACAATGTAATCAAGCAGCAATAAATGCCCATATCCACAGAAATGTGGCTGCGCTAAAGTCAAAAGACTCGCAGAAAGGCTATAAATATAAACAACAAGCCATATCCACAGAAATGTGGCCGCGCTAAAGTCAAAAGACTCGCAGAAAGGCTATAAATATAAACAACAAGCCATATCCAAAGAAATGTGGCCGCGCTTAAGTCAAAAGACTCGCAGAAAGGCTATAAATATAAACAACAAGCCATATCCACGAAATTGTGGCTGCGCTAAAGTCAAAAGACTCGCAGAAAGGCTATAAATATAAACAACAAGCCATATCCACAATAATTGTGGCTGCGCTAAAGTCAAAAGACTCGCAGAAAGGCTATAAATATAAACAGCAAACCATATCCACAAAACTGTGGCTGCGCTGAAGTCAAAAAGACTCGCAGAAAGGTTATAAATATAAACGACAAATTTTCCAAACATAACTGTATATGTGCTAAAGTAAAAAAGACCCACAGAAAGGCTATAAATGTAAACGACTAGTTTTATCAAACAAAACTGTAACCACGTTAAAGTCAAAAAGACTTACAAGGAAAAAAATATAAATCAGCAAAATGCCGGTTTTTTTGTTTTTGTTTTTTTTTTTGTTTTTTGTTTTTTATAGAAAGATTATATATACACATATATATACAATGTATAATATAGAAATAGGTAGCATTTTTTTTATATTGCCATAGTGTAAATATTTTGAACGTCACCATTGTCTTCAAATATTGTGACCCCACTTAAGTCTAAGCATGGTCTGGTACAAAAACAGAAACATAGCATCGAACATACAGCGGTCAAAGCACATGTTAAAAGCCTACCAAAATTTCACAAATACTAAACTAGGCCAGCATGTTTCACCAAATCTACAGCTAATTGCTGTTAAGGCCATTCCGATTAAATGTATGAGTAATTGTATACAAAACAAAATTTATCAGCTGGAAATATTCTTTAGATCTTTATATGCTATAAAGATTATATATTATAAAGAATAAGCCCGGTGTCTACTTATAGATAAATATCGCCAAATATTATTGATTAATGACCTTTTCTTTTATTTATTAAATTTTTATTTATTATTTTTTTTTGCTATTTCTATGTTAGCCCTGTACAGTATGATTTTATATATATATATATATATATATATATATATATATATATATATATATATATATATATATATATATATATATATATATATATATATATATCTATATATGCATTAGGCTGATCAGATACTTATCTTTATAACGACTTTATTTTACGAGAAGCCATCAGAACTGCATGCCTCAGTGACCTGTAGAAGCGCCTTTGTCCATAATGGTTGAGATGGATGCCGTCTCTGGTAAAAATATCAGCCTGCGCTTGAAATATTCTTCGGTGGGTCCAAAACCGTATGTCGTTGTGAGATTCCAAAAGAGTTTTCAAGATATGGTTTGTTTGTACCCGTTTACTTTCGTAAAGTTTGTCATCTATATTTTTGGGTTTTGATCGCGTAAACATTTCACATATGAAGACTTGCTTAATTCTATACTCCTTCACTATCATTAAACCAATTTCTTCCAAAGTACTGGCTATGGATAGTGGACTCATTGCCGAGTCGATGTCATTTTCCCCAAGCTGCAAGATAATTATTTGAGGTTTGTAAGTTCTTAGAAAATTGTGAAAACGCTCCTTGAAATGTTCCGTGCATCCAATAACGCCCTGATAATTCTCACAAACTGAAAACCCACCAACTCCTTTATGGAACAAAAAGCACTTCGCCAAGTCATAATTTGAAGGAAGCAGACGATGATTTATGTCGTACTGAAGCCGCCGTATAAAGCTATGGCCTAATACACCAACAGATATTTTAGAGTCCCGCATAATGTCAGAAATTTACCTTCACAAATAAATTCCTTTGTTCTCCGCACTCGATATGTGACGAATAATAAATTGCAGAAAAAACTTGCTTTCGACAGATAAACTTCAATATTATACGATAAAACTACTGTCAGAAAATGAAATTGTCACAAAAAACGGAATATTCCAATGAAATTGTAACAATATGTTAAAGAAATAACACAAATAATATTTAAAATGCAAAATTTTCTTTGTTTAGAGTGTCCGGCCGCAATCGTAACTGGTTTAAACCGGTTCTCGGAGCGGCGTGCTGATAAGGGTTAACGATTTTCATTGGCCGAAATTCTTTAAGGGATATTAACGATTTTCATTGGCCGACAGTCTTTAATGGTCTAGCACCCGTTATCCCGTTCCTTTCACCTGCTTACATAAAAATCGCTATGCAAAACATAGCTTAGATTTAAACATCATTTATTGCTATGTTTGTACACATTTATTTAAGGTAGCGAAATGGTTGAACTACGAGTTCTTACAACAACAGCAAATGTTTTTCCTTATATATATGCAAGTATCTAACTAATAATAAGACAATAAAAAAACAAACTTGAATGATAGTAAACAGTTAGAAAAAAATACGCATTTCGATTACTATATTCGTTCCTATATCGTGCATTTAAATGTTGAGTTCTGTAACTTCTGTTTCAGTCGATGTAAGTGATCGTTGTGTTAACACTTTGACCATAAAGACATTCTTTTAGGTCCTAAGAATACAGGGTTTTGCGTTCATTGAATGCCGCATTTCCTTGTTGATCTTGTTTATCACATTTTTTACTAAAAAGTAATAAAACATAGAGGCAAAAAAGACATCACCAAGACCGAACGCTCGAAACGACAAACTGATCATGTGGCCTGTCTGATTATGACGGAACTGTAAAGTGCAAATAATTTTCAACGCCCCTAGCACCGGCTTTAGCAGAATTCAACATGAGTATGGTTTATAAAAAAACCAATGTGCTTAAACGAGAAAGCAAAAGACAAACTACATACAATGAAATTTAAAAAAGGAGAACAAAAGTTATAAAGCCTGCATATCACAGAGAAACCAGATGAAATGATTTGTCAATAGGACAGCATTGCCATTTATTTCGGAATTGTAAATACAAATTCATATTAAAATTAATACAGAAATTACAGAAACGTTGATCTCACACGACGAACGATTCAGTTTTATGATCAATATTCTTTCTAGTCTAACATTGATTTTAAGTTGCATATCTTGATTATGAATGACGCATTTTTTTCTAAAATGTCATATTTTTATGCATTGTTATTTCAAAATTCATCCGAGAATTAAGTTGTGAATCGAAAAAAACGGACCTACGGACGAACTAAATACCTTCCTTCGGGAGCATAAAAATAATTTCAGTTACATTGATAAAACTGCTTACTTTTGTTGTGATTATTGCCGCCTGATTGTTGCCTTCTTTTTGTAAAAAAAGATATTATCTTTTTCATCCTTTATCTGAAAACAAATAAAAAATATTGATAAATCACGCCTGTAAGGGAAGGTTGTAGACTTTTTTAACTTTTGAATTAAAAAGAAGTCAGCTTGTCGGTCGGTCAGTCGCTAGGTCTACTTCATGGTTTCCGGGTGATAACAAGAGAAAGACACTGACATTGAAATCAAACTTAGTATCAAGCAAGCTTATAGGAAGACCCTGGTTGGTATTGCCTTTTTTACCCCGAGGTCAAGGTCACCAGTACAAAAAAAAGAGAGGTGGTTTCCTGGCAATATCTAGAGTTAGGAATAAGATAGTGTAATAAAACTAAGTATATAGGGAGTTTATATGAGGATCTCGCTCTGGTTGCTTTTGGACTACTTGGGTCAAGGTCCTTTTATCTTTTATCTAAAAAAAGAAAAATGGTTCGTACAATAATGAGAAATAGAAAATGAGATATTGTTATCGAACTTGGTATACAGCATTTTATATAAAGACCCAAGTTAGGATTGCTTTTGACCATCTTTGGTCAAGGTAAATGTTACTAAACTATTTAAATTATCTCCGGGCAATAGCTAGAATTAGGAATGAGATATTGTTATTAACTTAGTATTTAGCAAACTTATATGAAGATTCCCATTTGGATTGCTTTTTTACCTCCTGGAGTCAAGGTCACTGTCACTGTTATTAGAAATAGAAGAATTATTTCCTTAAAATAGAGTTGGGAATGAGATATTGTTACTAAGCTTGATATATTGCAAGTTTTCTTGTTTTTTATTCTTTAAATGAATACCCCAGGTTGGATTGTTCTTGGACCCCTGGGGTCAAGGTTTCTGTTACTAAAATTAGAAAAAAGGCTTTCGCACTATACCTGAATTAGTTATGAGATATTGTAATTGAACTTGGTATATAGCCAGCTTTTATGAAGACCCAGCTTAGGATTGCATTTGAACGCTCCGTTGGGTCAAGGTTGATGTTTCTAAATACAGAAAAATATTTTGGGACAATTATAAGAGCTTAGAATAAGTAATCGTGATCAAATTTTGTTTAAAGCAAACTTTAATTGAAACCTGGTCTTGGATTGTTGTTGGACTCTCTGGGGTCACTGGTAATAAAAATACGATTGCTGGTGGGGGTTTGAATCACTTTCAGTGATGGTTCCAGTTTCTTAAGAAATATTTATACTTACTGCAGAAATTTCAATTATCAATACGTTCTCACAAATGTGTGTCAATAATCAAAAGATGTACTCTAGTGTTGTGTACATAGAACATATAATATCGAACGAATTTTACACACGGTATAGAAAAACACAACATCATCGCGAAAAATGAACATAAAGTGTCACTTTAGGTTGTTATTTGTATGCCCTCTCAACATAATCACCTAAAAAAATTCCTTTGCCTTCTAACCGACTTTATAAACTTTCGCACTAATGAAGCAAAGATTATATGTCTACTGACGAATGAAACTTGCATTGAGTAGGCTAGGTTTCAATTCTGAGAACATCTGTAAGTTCATTGACGCAAGGCTGGGACTACATGTCTTAGGATTAGCCTCTCCATATTCCTTTTAAACGAGATGATTTAAATAAAGTTGATACCCGCCAAGTGAAATTGTATAATTAAGTTGTTATAATTACAAAATATGAAATAAGTAAAAATCATAGAAATTATCATGTAGATACATATAGCAGTACACCCAATAACCATAATGAAGGTTATCAATATCTTAAAGGAAAACAGACAAGAAAATCACCTATAAGGGCTCGAGAAGCAAAGCAGAAGACCGAAATTAATTTTATACAGTCCCGATGGGTTTTAAGAACTGTCCATCATAGTGCCTCCCTCTTTGTCCGGCAGATTCAAAACTAAGCATGCGGTTTGTCTGAAAATAGTAGGGTCATCAATTATGTTTATAAAATGTTTAATAACTTTAGTAACGACAGCATACAAATTACCATGACCTAAAATCTTACGACTTTTAAATATACCATCCCCTTTGAAAAGCTTGCTATTAATACAAATATGTCGCTCGATTTAATCGTTCAATTGGCTACAAGCTCTAGCGAATCTTATAAACTGAGATATATATACCCGTTAGATGTTACTTGGGGTACGTCCTCATCTAAATGTTGATAATTTACTTTACAAAAATCAAAGTCATCCCTCTGGTGAATAATATTGATATTAAGATAAAGAGCACAAAATAGTGTGATGAAATTTGAAGAGTTCGTTTTATTCAATTCAAGTTCATTGGTATAGGTATTAGACATCCTTTGATTAAAATAAAAGTAATTTAAATAAAAATATCACTAAGATATCGGGAAGAGTTAATAAATTCTACTGTCACATCTTGTAGTGTTATTTCGAAAAGATCCAACATAAAGCATCTTTCATAACAATACAAAATCACATCGGCGGCCAGGGGTGCACAGTTTGTTCATATAGGATTTTCTATGATTTATTTCAATAGAGTATTGTCCAAACATAAATTTGCCTAAAAAGAAAAAGGAATACTCTATAAACTTCGTCACAGGTCCACAATGTTTACAGTTTGTGAAAAATATTTTTGAAAATTACATGCAAGAAAGGTTATTTGTCCCGTGCAAACGTTTTCTGAATAAGGAAAATAAGTTCATCGTTAATTTATGTGGCAGTGTTGTAGTAAGGGTAGATCGACTAAAAGAGATGTGTGTCTGTGTTTTCGTAGACTTAATCAAAACGTTGATCTCCAGTACCCTTGGATGTACTTTATGTCCCGGTATTAGTGGAGAATCGCATGCTGAATTTCTAACTCAAGCCGAACCACAATAATGGTGATCCCCAATCCTGATAATATATGCGTTTTAAATGTTATCAAAATCAGGTGCGCTGCATATGACGAATAAAAAGTCATTTTGTTGAGGCATGATAGTAAAGACCAAAAATATTAATCAGTTTATAATCACATAATTGCGACGAGCCGAACGAAAAGCTCAGGCCAAAACCTGTATATGATTGTAAACATAGTGTGTGTACTATTATATCCATATCAATATCGTTCTAGGATTAATATTGGGGAAAAATCATAAGTAATGTAAATCATATAAAGCGGATGTCATGCATTGTAGCTTAAATCGTTAAGTCATACATAGGAATTTCTATAAATTGATGTGGGTGTCCAGTTAACAATCATGTCATTTATTGATGGGTTCATTTACATCTTACAAATACATGTCGAACGTATTAAAGACTTTGTGATAGGTTGTGAATCTATGATTGTGAATAGATGGTTGTAATTTGTGCCTGTATCTCATTGATCGATTAAGAAATAATTATATTTCCTTATGAGCTCGGAATACTATCAGTTTCGTATTTATTATTTTACTTCAATATAACTTATTATACAAGTTCTTATGAATGACTCGGTTTGTTTACATTTGTATACAATATGTTACATTAGCTTCATTTCTTATTAGTTATTACCTAAACTTATCGTAGCATATAATATTTAACTCTAATTTGGCAGTTAATTCGGAAACAGTATATATAGACCTCACCTAACGAACAGTCACAATAACTATATCGCTGCTTAGCAAGCAAGTTTGTAAATCCTGAATGGCTTAACAAATGAACCAGAAGGAATTACTACTCTCTAGTCTGAACAATACATTGTATTGACATTAATTTTCGCTATATGTATATTTTATTGTTCAGGTTGTTGTTTTGTAAAAGAAACTCTTCCATTAAAAGAAAAGAAATATTGATGAATTAAATACCATACAAATGATAAATACTCCAGATGAAAAGGGTAAAGATAAATACACAGTGTATAGGTCCATCTGTCAATCCTTAACATGATGCATGAAATAAACTTACGTACAAACTGGCGATAGTAGTAACTGGTTTCCTTTGAACAGGAAAACAATCCTAGCGTCTTATGAATTTCAAGTCAAATCAAGTTTAGTGGAAAAGAAAC